ATCGATGATAATTATTTTGCGTATCACTAAACAAAAAGAGTATTAATATCATTAAAATTCGAAGTATAAAAGAGAGAATGATGTCTTTTTTCTTTTTCTCGTCAAATATTAAACACGAGGGCGAGGGTGTGGGTGTGGGTGTGGCATGCATCGAGTTGTACGCATGACTGAATAAATGAATAACTCAAAACCTTCAACTGCGCAAGTGTGATAGTGTGATAGTTCAATAGCTGAATTAGTCAGGATGGCCAGATCAAAAAAAAGAAAATCAGACAATTTCTTCTACAGGAAAAAAGAGAGAACATATATTTTTGTTAGTGTTGTTATCAAGGGGGAAAAAGCGAGACTTCATACTTCAACTACTTCAATGGTACTTCACTTGAAACTGTATTTTATTTTATTAACCCTAGTCCTCCCAACATGGGTCATTCTTGACCCACATCCGAAGTAGATGTTTTTTGATAAGTAACAGAGTATGACATTTAGTTTTGATTTTTCGCTCGAGTTAAAAAGGTCATTGTTTTAATACGCTCTGTGTGAAATCAGATGTAAAATATCATAACTTAAATTGTAGGGCTAGTTGCAAAAAAATCCTAAAAGAGCATGGGAGTATCTATGCCAACGCAGTCTAATGCCATCTGCAGTAAAACAAAAAAAAGGGCAGCGCGCGCGTTTTTATATTTTTCTGCAACCGATACTAGTTAAAACAAGCTATACTAAATACAAGGATCATACAGTTAAAGAGCTATCTAAGATTTTTAAAAGTCATTGGTATATATATCCTAAAAGAGCTTAGTCGACTGATTGTGCTCTTCTCTTCATAATACCGGTAAACAGTAACCGATGAACCGTTATTCCATCCTTCCGAATAAACGTTAACTCGGTCGGTAAATACGAATATGGCGAATGAACGTTGGAAGCAATATTTTGATTTCACAACAATTGATAACAATAGGGTTTCTGAAAGAATGTTCAATCAGATGGAGTCCGATATCAGTGAAAACATTGAAACTCGATCCACTCCGTCAGTGTTTCGATAAAGTATCGAAAACAATTTCCCAAACATTACAAGGAGTCGACCATATGGCTTTAACTATTGATGGACGGTCGGTCAGAAAGTGTCGACTGTTTTCAGATAATAAATCACATTTGATTGATAAAAATATGAGTGAATGTATATTTTAGACATCACTTCTCATTTTATTAATGAACAAATTCAATCAGAAGCATATCTAATCAATTTTGTACGATCGAAATATCCTCACACTGGTGAAAAAATATTCGTCACATCACGGAATAGGTACTGGATCGTCTCGATATCAATGACAAAGTGTACCAAATAGTCACTGATAATGCTTCAGCAATGATCAAAGCTTATAAATTTGGCTTAACAGTCAACGATGATGCTAATGAAGATGATACCAAATCATTTCCTGACGTGCGCGACTTGTCTGATGATAACAATGATGTTTACATCCGTGATAATCCTTCTGATGTACGACTTGCATGTTTTGCCCATACAATGCAGCTATGCATTCGAGACGGTCTGAAGAATGCGACTTATATACCCAAAGTGCTTGGAAACTGTAAAGTTATCGCAAAGTTTGCACACAAATCATCCAAAATAGCCGATTTGTTGGAACCATTGAACAAGAATATCTACAAATACAATTTAACTAGATGGAACAGTGAATATATGTTAATAAAATCGATTGTTTCAATTACGAGCTCAATGGAAAATCCAATCAAGTTTTCAAGCAATGATTTCGCCGTTTTAGAAGATTTAATTGATGTTCTAGATCCATTTTGCGACATATCAATGAAATGTCAAGCCGATCACGTTGTTACCACTAGCTTGGTTGCTCCATCAATCACACGTTTAGTTGGACACCTTCGAGATATAAAAGAACATGTTAAATTTTGTTTGAAACTCGTTCAACATCTTCAAGAAAGTATTAAGACTCGTTTCTCTGGTATGATAAATAAATTGCATCTTGTTGATGTTGTTGACAATGGTCAATTTGGTGGTCCACGATATTTCGTTGCTGCCGTACTGGATCCATCGTTCAGATTCTACTGAGTTCAACATTTACAATCGCCTGTTCAATCGGCAAATTCTTTGAAGCAAAATAGCATTCGATTGATTATCGAAGAAATGAATAAAGAGACGAAAACAACAATGCATGGCTTGGATCCGAGTGATATTTCGTCATCACTATGCTGTTCCTCCACGGTTAAACCAAAAAGACGAAAGCAGTAATGGTAGCCTAAGTGAATCAACAACTCTTGAGCCAGCTGTCGAATTAGATGCGTATCTGAATGATCTTTTGCATGCAAGTTTTTCTTATTATTGGTTTAATTCTCAGCTGCACATGTTAAAAAAATTAGTCAAATGCATCGTCTCCATTCAAGCATCTTCAGCACCTATCGAACGCGTCTTTTCACAAGCTGGTATCATATTTACAAACAAGAAAACAAACTTGAGCGAAAAATGATTCCCCGATTTAGTTTATCTTCGTGTTAATGAAAGTTTGTTATAAACACTTTTACACTTCTCACAGATCATATCTGTTTTATTTTTTTATTTACCTGTTAACTAGTTAAATGTTGTTGATTTTTTCATAGAAGTAATCTGTATCAATCGATTTTATCTTAAGAGCATGATGAAGCGATATGTGCGTATTCTATCGAGCGGAAAATGAGATTTCACTATATGATGTGAATAACTTTGACGGCGGATATTCTTTCAAAAACCAAAAAGATTATGCTGTTGCGTTCATTCATGTTAGTCTATGCACGTCGCAAACATAATCTATTGAAATATCATTGAAAATCAATAATTGAGCGTTTGCTGACATTTTCTCAAAAGAATTATCCGTTTTAAATATATTTGGACTTAGTACCGGCACTAAGTATAGCTCTACGTAAGTGGAATATACTGAAGATTTTTAGGTAAAAGGTACGAAAGTACCAAATACTTTACTAAAGTAACTAATATCTGATTATCACATATACACACTGTTTTTAGTATCTTTTCGGGTTTGTCAACAAAAAGATAAGATCTATATGCATATAAACGAAAGAAAAGAATGTGAAGAAAAGACTAAACCAAGGTAAGTTAAAAAAAGAATGTTGATTCTTTTGCTTCTTCTTCAACTGATCATACCGAATGATGCATCCCTGTGTATATTCACAAGAAATATTCATTTAAATGGTGTCAAACAGCAATTGCAAGTAGAATCTTGGGGTGCAGATAGTATTCGAATTCGTCTTAGTCCCGACGTGGTTTTGCAAACTCCAGATTACCAGGCTTTACTTCCAGAAAAACCACATTTAGGTAGTGATGATTGTCGACAACTGAATGGAGAGACATTTAGTAATGGCAATCTTCAATTTACTATCAATGATGATAATCAAACGTGGTCAATTCAACGTTTGTCAGATGGACTCACACTTTTTCAAGTTCAATCCACCCAATTTATGCCATATATCTATCCACCCTCTGTCTATTCACCCATTTACAGTCTGTATAATTTATCGTTGAGTTATATTCATTCACAAAATGGGTATTTATATGGCCTAGGAGAACATCATTATGACCAGAACGTAACATTACCGTATCATAATTTCTACTTACCATTTCAGTTTTCGTCCACTGCACCCACTAATGGTGATATCACCATTCCATGGTATGTTCATTCATCAGGTTTTGGAGTTCTTTGGAATCTACCAGGTTATGGTTCATTTAATGTTCAAAATGATACTCGAATTACGTGGACTGCAGATGCAACACATCAACTTGATTTATGGATAACAACAATACCGAAAGAAGCATCAATTGCATCGCCATTCTATGCCCTTCTTATGAAGAATTTTGTTGATGTAGTCGGTCGTCCTAATCCATTACCGCAGTTTGCTTCGGGTTTTTGGCAAAGTAAAAATCGTTATCGATCTCAAGACGAATTGTTAGAAGTTGCTAAAGGTTATTATGATCGTCAAATTCCTGTGAGTATTATTGTTATCGATTGGTTTCATTGGATAACAGTAGGCGATTGGAGTTTTAATCCCAAATGTTGGCCAAATGTTTCCCAAATGATGGATCAACTGAATTCATATGGAATGAAGGTGATGGTATCTGTATGGCCCAATGTGGCAGACAACTCGGAAAATTTCCTTCCAATGAAAACAGCTGGCTTATTGACTCACGATGCTAATGGAAGTGATATAACAAGAGGAGGAAATGCATATATTGTTGATGAATTTAATCCTGCAACACGACGATACATATGGCAGAAAATAAAAACAAATTATTTTAATTATGGAATTAAAATTTATTGGTTAGACGCTGATGAACCCGAGGGAAGTCGACCTGGTTTACAATGGTGGTATGATCGGCACGATGCAGAAATTGCTATGGTATGGGTTCGAGAACATCATCGCACATTCTATGATGGATTAAAAGAACAAGGAGAAGAAGACATTATTATGCTTAGTCGATCAGCATGGATTGGAAGTCATAGAATGGGTGTTGCCGTTTGGAGCGGTGATATCGATTCAACATTTGTAGAATTACTAAAACAGATTAAAGTAGCACAGAATGTGGCATTGTCAGGCATCTATTGGTGGACCACTGATATTGGTGGATATAGAGGTGGAGTTTTAGGTGATGATCAATTTGAAGAATTGTTAGTGCGATGGTTTCAATTTGGTGCATTTTGTCCAATCTTTCGTCTACATGGTGAACGTCATCCATCTGTACCTGACAATGAATGTGGTTTCGGTAACGGTCATAATGAAGTTTGGCTATTTAAATATAGTTCACAAATTATTGATGTTATTAAGCTTCGTGAATCATTACGTGATTATGTTGAATATCATTTAAACATTTCACATCAAAATGGATCACCAATTCTACGACCAATGTTTTATGATTTTGCTGATACGGAATGTTATACAGCAGAAGATCAATACATGTTTGGAACTGATTATTTAGTTGCTCCTGTTTACATTTATCAAGCTACATCACGTTCAGTTTATTTACCAAAACTTTCTCAACAGAATGCAGGCTGGCAACACTATTATACTAAACAAAATTATGAAGGTGGTCGGCGCTACAGTATCAATGTTACTTTAAACGATTTTCCTTTGTTTGTCAAGACCATGACAAATTAGTATTGACTCGAATAATGACAGTTATTAATTATTCTTAAAAATATACTTTTTTTAATAATCGAAAATTTCCACAAACTAAATTGATTGTCTTGCATCTTAAACTAGGGATCAAATTGAATCAATAGCCTCGTTGTCTTACAGTCCTATAGAGTAATAATATAGATTTTCATCCACCAGCAAGCAAAAAATAAAAAAATCTATCGTGTTGGCATTTTATGGGAAAACAATGCACTGTAAGATAGTACAGAGCTAGTACTTCAGATTCATAGAAAATCTTTAAAAAAACTTATGCCATACATTTTCAAAAACGGTGCAGAGATTCCAATTTTCTGATTTTCAAGCATTGCGACCAATGTGTTGAAAATACTTGTTTGTGGAGAATAGTTTTTGCTGACCACAAACGATAAGATTACAGTTATGTCCTTATTTGCTATCGATAACTAATAGCGAGTCGTTTACTGAACTTTCTGGTGCTTATACTACTATCGAAATAAAAAAAAGGCAGATAACTATGTGGGAAAGTCGCCATTCAATGTGTTTTGTAAACTAGATTTTCGCCAACGAAATTCAGTATGCATTAGAGGATTTTTTTTCATGATGTCGGTAACCTCACATGCTCAATTCAAGCTATGGTATCAGAGGAAGTTTTTTGCTAAAAAATGGAAATTTGATGAAAATATAAGCAATATAGAAGAAAAGTGTTTCTTTTCAAAATCTTACATGGCACTGCTTACTAATTCTCTTAGTATGTGTTCGTCAGTATATGTTTACGATAATTCTTTCGATCACTTGTTGTCTTTTTCTGTTTAATATGCACATGCTTTATGTTATAGATAGTATATTTAGTTACAATGCCAACAGATCATGAGTTTTCGCAAGAAGTGAAACAACTAAGGTTTCATGTTATTGCTTTCGTTGAAGGTGAGGAGAACGGTCCAGTCATTCCTCTCTGTAATGTGAAAGATCGATGTACAGATTAACGCATGACTTATGCCGTTCAAATCCATCAACAAATCATGTCGATCATTCTGTTCCTCAAGTATTATTTCCTGAGAAAAAACATGAGAGATTTCTTTTATGAATAGTTTGAAAGTTAACTCTTCTGGATTTAGTGCATTCTGGTCATCCGAATATTGTTCTACAAGAACAAGAAAAAGACTTAATTCGACTTGAGTTTCATAAACTTTTTCACAAAAAAAAGTGTATCCAACTTCAGAAAACCTGCTGAAAAGCTTGACAGGACATTTCGCCGTACGTGTATACTATAATTAATTTACATTGAAACATGGTCTGTTATTGGTTGGCATAGCTGCATATGTAGTTTAATTAATATGAAGACTACACGTTTATTGATAACCCTTTCGGTAATGTAGAGCGAAACCTGGTATTCTGAACAAATTTGAAAAGATCTAAGGTAAGATATTATCAAAGTATCGAAAAGTAAAACAGAGTTTAAACTCCAAAAAAACGTGTTCAAAAGCTTTCAAAGGTGAAATATTACGTTATTGTACAACAACCGAAGTTCGATTTCCTTTCGTGTAGTAAGTGGTTTTCAGTATTATAGATCACAGAGAAGCTTAACTCGTGTCTGACTATGAACAAATAATCCAAGAAGACGTTCATGGATTTTGTAGTAGTTTATTTACTGAATATTAATTTATTTGCTTAAAAATGTGTTGACTGTTGTTAATGGAACTAGAGAAGTTATTGTTATGAAATCGAGATCAACTTTCAACCGTCATCTTTCCGATAAACCATCTTTTCAGTGAATGCTACTACTTCCATGTATAGATGGGGAGAAGAGAAAAAAGAGTTGATATGAAAGAGAACGTCTCGTGCTTGTTAGTTCGTTATGATTATAGTATACTTTCATTTTGATTAGATTCGCTATCTAATTAGGCTTTCACCTAGTACGAGAAATGATTTGTTCATTAATGAATACTTTGTAAGCCATTGTTTGGAAACAAGTTGAAATGGAGGACTTATTATATTGATGGATATTTCCATATTAATATAGAGATCCATTACACTCCTCGTTTCAATTAGAATGCTTTCTCTGATTCTTTTTCATTGTCAACGAGCTCGCAATGATGCATCTAGCATTTTCATGTGTAATACATACACTGTAATTTTATTTACCACAAGCATTAACTCAATAAATATGCTTACAAATTATATGGCGATATAAATACAAATATTTTATTCGTTAGTCATCGGTGGTGTTATACATATGACCATATTCTCTATATTTCAATCGTAGCATTATACCATTGTTTTACATTAGAAAACCACTTTTCGTTTTTGTCGAATAGTTTTGCAAAAATATTACAAAATTGAAAACACGTCATTTCATGCTTCTTTCTATTCTGATTCAATGATTAGTAGTTTTTCTTTGTATGATTCCATGTTCATTTGGCAATAATTTTCAATGTATTTCTGAGTATTATTTTTGTCAAATGTTATATACAGATCTTGACGCTTAAGTATCATATGACATTTCTATTCATATTATACTAATGTTAACAATAGGATTAATGTATTTGTATATTATTTATTATATGAGAAAATTCGAAGACCAATCATTGTTACAAAATCGTCAACGATCAAATCAACGTGATTTTATTGTTCTGCGTCGATTTACTATTTTGGTTTTAATGCCTTTTTTCTTTCATTCCTTTCTCTTGTACTATGGGTAAACCATTTTATTACTGGTTATTTATATACATTAATTTATCATTTACAATGGTTGACATTTATGTGTTCACTAACAATTCTTTCTATGTCGGCAGCTGTTTTAACACCATAATGTAATTTCATGAATAAATGGATTACTTTCATTTATTTGAGGCCCCGAAATATAATAATAAACAACACAATATAGTATTATCACGAATGATTAAACCATCGATATGGATGAGAATGTTACTCTGAAACCAAACTATCGTTAGATGCAAAATAAGTTTACTGCTTAGTTAATTAGCGATATAATGCTGATAAAAACCTTTTGAGTTTGAAGAAATTTTTCATTTTACAAATATATTCTCGCGTATAATTTATAGAGAGATCGTATTTTTAATGATTGAAAATAGAAAAACGTGAGCAAATAGATTTTTCTTAAATATCAACTTAGAAACAAATATAGAAAGTTTTATTTTACTGACACGTTCCTGTATTATTGTCATGAATAAGTTATTTTATAGGTGAGATTCTAAGTAAAATAATTGACATCGAATTAAAATAAGAAAAATTTTTCTGAATAATGGTACTGATTTATTATGTCATATGTCTGGTCAATATATTAATCATTATTGAAACAACAAGTAAATATATGTTTTCCATTATATGAGTTAGCCAAATTCATTAATCTTCTGCTATAATGAGATAAAAGCTTTAATATCATTGTGACTTTTTCTTTTACTTTCAACAGAAGAAACAAGTTCATTCTCGCACGAGCCTTTATCAATAAGAAAACAATTACCGTCAGTAGTTGTTTCGTCAAACTGTACAGATCCAACAAAAATCGGTCCCTATTGTAATATTTCTAATATTTATTGTGATATGGCTCAACCGTGTAAGAACAATGGTACTTGTCACAGTCTACAAACATCTGGAAATGAATATAATTGTTCATGTCCAATTGGGTTTACTGGTATTGATTGTAGTTCTGATGATCGGCTTTGTAAACCTGATACATGTTTAAATAAGGGTAATAAATTCTTTCACCTTTCTATTATCTGAAAAAAAATGTTTTTCATTCGAAAGATATTTGTGTTGTAACAACAAATCGAACATTTAATTGTACATGTGTGCCTGGTTGGGAAGGTCGTCATTGCGAAACAAAAATAAATTATTGTTTAAATATAAAATGTCAAAATAGAGGTGTTTGTCGATCAGAAGTTTTGGATTATAAATGTGAATGTCTTCATAGATATTCTGGACGACTTTGTCAAATAAAAAATCAATCATTATCAATTAAATCCTCATGGATTATATCCACAGGTGTTACTTTGTTTTTATTAATATCATTCGTTCTTTTATGAAAATTTCAACTTTGTCTGATTATGATCAAGTTTCTCTTTTCTGAACAGATATAAATAAAATAAAAGACAAATTGAAAGCAATTAAACCTCTAACAGGAATACAAGCTATATAAGACAACAAAAGATTGAGAACAAAGGTGAAGAAAACATAGCCTTTGTCTACTAGGGTGGTTGAGGCGATTTGATTGAACCATTCGATTAAATATATTATTGATTGAATTACTAAAATCAATAATATCATTGTTGATCAATGCATCTCCTAAATTTTTCATAATTTTAGTGAATTTAACAATTGAATCATACAATCTCAAATAGTCTTTTTTCTAAAATATCAAAGAGAAAAATATATGTTAAAAATCTTTAATTCAAGAATAATTCAAAGTATTAGAAAAAAGAAACATTTTTGTGCTTATGGCGAATTTATACTCATCTTCAATATGTAAAGATATAAGAGAAGTGTAGAAGAAGGAGCTAATAGGAAAATTAGATATTTTAGCTAGTATTTATCGTTCAGCAATGCTATAAAGCAACCGTTTCGCAGGAGAGTACAGCATTCGTATGGTGCTATAAAACTGTGTTCAGAATTACGGGGTAAAACGATTCGTTTTTGGTCGTAGAGCCACTGCTTTGCCATGCAGTATACACTTCAAAAACGCATTCTAAGCGACTCCATTTTCATTCACCTAAGACAAAACCCAGCAACAGCGAATGGTAAATTATCTTTTTGTGCATATGTACAGAATTGGAAAAAATGTTTTGATAGGGGCGTTACTGCCATATTTTCAAATAGGCTTAATAATAAGTTTTATACAAAATGAAAACCCATGAAGAATGGGGTTTATTGATGCTAAACAATAACGATTATCAAAACTTTCGTATGCTGAAACTATTGAAACCTCGGCATTTCTATGGATAAATATGAGAAAAATTGTTAATGACACAAAATTCGAATTAAATCTGATACAAAGTTCTCCTTTAGTGCACGTCATCGAGACGTGTACGACCATAGATAAGTTTCAGATAAATCTGTATCGGTTCCCGTGTTTTTCAATGCATCTGAGACATGCATTTTGGGTGTTTCTTCAAGACAACCAAAATGCCAAAGTTCTGACAACATTTTTTTTCTCAACTTCATCCTTGATTATTGTTCCAATATGTTCTGCTACATTGAAATCAGATGAATTTTTCAGGCCAAATATCATTACTCCAAAATTTAACGTCATTATTTTGAAGCTCATGGACAAACACAACTTCATCGGGATCGATCACATTTTCTTCATTTTGTGAGAATGAAATAACGTGTTCAATCAAAGTTGTATCACGAAAATATGACCAGTCCACGATTCACCTTTATCTTCGGTCACTCAACGTAATCCCGTAGCAGTAAATGTCACAAAAAGCCCAATGCATGCTTCATTTCTAATCATTTCACGATAACGTGCATCGCCTTCGATATTGTCCACACTTTTAGTCTATCGCGAAACCATAATCGATCTGATATATGAGTTTCAGACTTAAGCGGTTTTGCAATAACATGAAATGCTTTCAATCCTTCTCTGTGACGATAATTATTAATTGTTCTGCGAGTGACATACTCATTTTGTTTTTCAGCATTTTTCTTCGTTGATCATTCGCCTTCAGAATGAAGTCTTGACTTGCTTGTGATAATTTAAGCTTTCAACCACCATTTGAATAATCAGCAAAACATTGCTCATAAGATTTTTGCCACAAGTCAGTAACAAATTAAACCGAATGATGAACTTTTTCGCAAACCAATGTCGAATAATGAATGTTGCATCAGCATCTCGAGCTTCACAAAAAGCAATGCTTTGAATTCTATCGATAATTCTTTGCTCTTCAGCATCATGAGAATCAGCCATTTTAAAATGGTTAGATTCCACTAATATACCGAACGAATAGAAGTTTTAATGAAGAATGCGACTTAGAGAATGATCTTATATATAGCTTCATAAACGTCTCAAACTTTCTTGTTCTCCAACTTTTCAAGAGAATTCTACTTGAAGTTCATTATTCGTGATATGAGAAACATCATTAATAAGGTCCTGAACTTGTCGTGTATTTTCAGCTGATGTCTCCGTCATTGATCTTACAACTCTTTCTTCATCGTTAACATCTTTTGGACCGTCACGAAACCAGTTTGACCATCGTTAAACAGTTCGTAGTGCAGAAGCTTCATCATCCAATACAGTGCTTAATTCATTATGAGTAGCTGCCAGCTCGATATGAAGTGCAGTACGCACTTTAATATAGAAACAGAAAAATATTCTTTATCTATTGGAAAATAAATGAATAGTTTTTATCGTATACCTGATCTATGTTGAAAGTAATATGATATATTGCCTCCTTTAACATTTTGCTCTTCTTTTCTCTATCTTTTGCAGTTGTTCGATGTTTATTTTCGTTTATATATGTGAGATAAACGTGCTGTGTTTGTATTTGCTCAGTTCGTATAGCTGGTTTGTGTATGTTTTTAGAGTAAAAATTCAAAAAAGTGAGTGAAATTTGTGAGTATAAAAACTTTTACTTATATATTCTTGTTTGAAGGTTTATGAAACACATAGAATCATCGAGCTTCACTTGGGCTATCAGAATACATGGACAAGAAAAGATTCAAAAGGCTCTTGCACAAAATAAAACGGTCAGCCTCACTAATTTTATCGGTGTAAAACTAACACCAGCAAACGAAAAACCATCCAAAACCTTATGTTCAAATAGATGCCCGTCTATGAAAGTGACTTTACTCGACGCAGAATTTGATTCTGCATGGAATCATGATATTTTAATGGAGGATGGAAGGGAAACGATTGAAGAATGTTATCGGTGTTTTTTCCTTCTATGCGCAAACGCATAGAAAGATTTATGAAAAATTTTTCCAATCGTTTTTACGTTCATAAAAGTATCATCACTCGGTGCAGAATCAAATTCTGCGTCGAACGAAGTCACTTTCACAGATGAAAATTGATTTGAACATAAGGGTTTGTGTGGTTTTTTGTTTTCTGGTGCTAACTTCACACTGATGCTACTTTTGGTATGACCTAAGTGTTTCAGCCGCCATCGGCGACTACGGTCTGGAATTAAACCTGTATTCTTATTTTTCCCATGGTTTACTATTTTTAACTCCATTATCTTTTTAACTTGTTTATTTTTGCTGAACACACATTGAAGATACTGTAGACGTGATTATAATATTTTCAAAAAGTAATCCGTCTTAGTTGTGCTGCTTTTTTTGCCTACGAATATGAGTTAACACTTGCATGAACGATCTCTTTCATGTCATCATTTTTTTTCTAACAACTGAATAGCAGTGATTTTCAGTTGGATGAGAAAAAGCTTTCCATACCGATTCATTTAGTCGAATAAAAATCGAGCAACATATGAAAGCTTTCAAGCATTCAACATTTCTACCCCGAACGATAACAGGTAAGACATTTAGTTCTTGTTGACATGAAGATTTCTCCATAGATTTCAATAAAAAAGGTCATTCTTGTACTAACATGTTCAAAATGTATTCCGTGATAATTCAACAACAGAAAAACAGTAAAAAAAAGGGAAACACTTCAATTTTTTCGACTCATTCATATCTGTATGTAGTGTTTGATTAGTTTCTTCACTGCGCCATCAATTTTATCAGCTCGTTCTTATCAATGTGTCATAAATAATTACTTATTTTATTTAGTCATCACAAATTATCATACATCAATATGGCAATACCAGATATTGTTTGCTTTTGGCTTCTTTTAATCTTTGGAATTCCATCTATTATGTGTTATATTTTCAATCTTTATTATTTTCTCATGGATCGAACACTACGAAAAGGTCTTCACAATCATGTCATTATTCTCATTCATTTTTTCGGCCTTCTGTATATGGCTACTGATTTTATCTGGTTCATGCACTATTATCGTAATCATTCAGCGCTAGTATCATCACCCATATTTTGTCTCATATGGGCATGGGTAGATTATACGTTACCTCCCTCAATAACAATTCTGATGGCATGGGCATCAGTTGAACGACATATTCTCATTTTTCATCAAAACTTAACTGCAACGTCAGTTAAATGCTTTATTTTTCATTATTTCCCATTGATTCTATTTGGTATATATCCATCCATTTTTTATTTTATTATGTTTTTCGTTATGCCATGTGAGATTTCTTACGATTATAGCCTAAATATATGCGGACTTTTTCATTGCTCATATAGTCAGTCAACATTAGCTATGTGGGATAGTATAGTTGACTTAATTACACCAGGTTTTGTGATTGTCATTTTCAGTCTATTACTTATTGGCCGTGTATGGTACAGCAAATATCGAATGGGCCAACAGTTTCAATGGAGAAATTATAGTAAGATGCTACGTCAATTACTCTCGTTATCTGTTCTTTATTCTATTTTCTTCTTTCCATTCATAGTTTTATATACAGCTTATACAGCTGGCCTATCACGCGATGTGGGTGTGGAGTTTTTCTTAGTTACTTTATTTTTCTCTTACTTTGTAACATTATTTATTCCTTTTGTATCGATGGCTGCATTACCTGAACTTCGGTCGAAAATGCGAAAGATTATTCCGTCGACTCGACGACAAAGAAACGCTATTGCTCCCACAATAACAGCAGGAGCTCGTCTGGCAAATCAATGAGCCATTACAATGCGAAAAACTGTTCATTAAACACTTGAATGACAAATGACTGGAAGAAATGCAAAGTCATATTGAATATTATACGATGCGTGAAGATGCATTTAATGGAAGTAAAGACATTTGCATTCCCATTGACATCTAAGAATGATTGTTTTTCCCTCGACTGAAAGAGGGCCATGTCGAAAAAAGGTGGCCAGAAAAATAAAATTCATTTTTGTCTATGTCTGTCGCAGGTCAAAGGGTGTGGGTGAGGGTCGAGATCAAGAATCGAAGGTCAGAAAAACATTTGTTTTCAATTTCTTTAACTTGAAATATACTATTTCACATCATTATGAATGATTTTGTAAAATTTATTAAGAGTAAATTCCTAATCCACACAATATAGTACTAGGAAGTTAAACACATCTCAGTCTCAATGAGATTTCGTTGATTGAAGAACAAAACAATGAATAGATTCGTTGATATTGTTAGTATTTATGAAGAAATTCGCATGACGTTGATTAACTTTGCGAAAATGTTATTATATAAAAGAAAACAAGCATATAATGCATTTCTTGCATGTTCTATTTTCCATCTATTCTATTTCCTTTTTGTTTCAGATTCCTACTAAATTTCGTAATTGACGTTGAGATTATACTTTGTACTTTTTCTGATAACGCTCTTTGATTTTATTATTCAAATAATTGACAACGTCATACGTAACAGTGTGACATAATTAACTAAACCATGTGGAAAATGAGATAAAATTATTTGTTCTTTCATCATCAACTTTCAAATAGATTTTGTATTTTAAATCTCACTACAAAGAGAAAGAACTTTCATATCTACAAACAATGCAATCTAATATTGTTTTATTTTCGTCATTACTTTTTATGTTGATTCCATCATTTGTCTGTGAGGGTGTGAGTGTGAGTGTCAGTAAGTTTAACATAGAGAGGAAACAATTCCAAGCACTCACGACGCGTTTCGTCCTTGCTTAAGGTGCTCGTCGGATGACTTATGATTTCGTATAATGCAGTTCAATTAAAGCATTTGTAAAAGAAAAAAAGTTAATTCCAAGCCAAATCACGGTCCAATGAACTGTTTCCGATGAGACTCAAAGATGCATGCAGCATATTAATGCTGCGTGCTGTCTGGATCCTGCGGGAACCTGCAGATAGCACCAGAAATCGCTGGAACATGGAAGCAGTATTCTCAGCGGAAATTTTCGGATTTTTTTCCGATGAATTGCAGCTAATTTCCTGTGGTTTCCAACAGGAACTGACCAGAAGTTGCTGGAATAGAATTCGAAAATTTCCGCTCGGAATACTGCTTCCATGTTCCAGCGATTTCCGATATTTTCCTCCTGGACCCTGACCGTATTGCTCGACTCGGGTAGCGGTCGTCGGTCAGGAAATTGTTTTAGTGTTTCCTCGCCTTGTAATTGTGGATATTGATAGAGTTCGTTGCATGTGCACTATAGTATCCAGGTTAGAGTGTTTGGGTTTGAATCGCAGTTTGAATAAATTGACTATGGTCGTTTGTTTTGGAAACATTGAGGATTATTTCGAGATCGTTGCACTTCACGATTAACATGATCGATGTATGGTTAAAGAAACTTGTTGTGATCAGAATGTACTGCATCGCCTACCCATTGGAATCCTCATAACATGACATTCTATCAAGCAATGGATTATGACGCCCACCAATATTAGCATGGTCACAATTTGGCTGTACGGTTTTATGTTGTTAATAATAGCAACCCATGAATTGAATTTTTTTATGCTCGATACTGTAACACGCGGAAACGTAAGATACCTTCGGGCAGGATTCGACATTTTCTTGAGCGAATTCGTTTTAGTGTAGGTTCCAATCAAACCAACACTGATTCCAAGTACAACTTGATGAGCTTTGTCGGTTCCAAAAATAAAATTTCCAAAAAAGCTCTTTCTTCACCCTCAAAACCTAAAAAACACCCAGAAAAACGAAACTAGAGGAAAACCGGGGCGGATTCGTTTTACAACCAACGGCAGCGATTTCAACACTGGTTTCAGATCAAACTCGACGAGCTCTGTCAGTTCCAATCATAAGCATTTTTTTCACCACACCCACACCCTCACCCACACCCCCACACCCTCAAGAAAAACAAAGACTGTCCACGATCCGTTGTGTGCATGCTATTAAGTCTCTTTATAATGTATTTCTTTACGTAGAAATCCAGAGCTTGTTCCTTAGTTATAGCAAGGATGTTGCTTGCTGATACAAATGGGCATCTGTGAACAAGTCTGAGTGCTACGCGATACTTTTGGTAAAATAGCTGCTGCTGAGATCTTGGTAATAGTGGAAACAAGGGGAAAGTCCATACAAAACGTCGGAATGAGTATGCGAAGAAACATTGTCTTAGTGCTTTTGTGGAGATGTACTTTTAGCCATTTAAGTTTACCGAAGGTTTTCTGTATACTACTTAAGCACCGATCTACTGTTGGTTTCAGTGAGAGTTTGCTAGTCCAAGTAAACCCGAGAATGAATTGAATTACTTAGTGCATTGCATGTATTTACTGGATTTCATGTAGCCGCTAGTCAAACAAAGTATATGACTATCGACCAAGCGGTTAGCACATAAAAGCAAGTTCAGAGCACAAATTCTACAGTGCAAGATATATTCAACTGGAATATTTCTGCAGACGAAACTCAAGGATGTGCATTTGGCAATACTGTGTCTACTCAACAACTGAATTTTACCCATGGAAAAAAACTTCTTTTCTTAAAACATAGTATTTCGTAGCATTAAACATCAAATTTATTCTTTCTTGGTTATGATCGTGTCATTATGAAAAAAGGCATGCACTGAAATATTCATTTTTCAACAAGTGGATAACTAGCCCAATTTGCGATTCCACATTGATTATTTTTGTTGCGACTCATCCAAATATAACCATGCATACCAAATTCTTCACCCCAAGAATTTTTCACGATGTAATAATCTTGTTTCGTTGTGCCATTATTGAATGTATCATATCCAACAACGGTCATCGTATGAGACCAGTCTTTCGTTGAACATGCTGGCTCATCATAAACACCTGATGAATAGAAGATGAAAGAATCATGTAAGTCGTCGATCGCTATTCCGATAGGACCCACAGTAGCAATAGCTATCTGTAAGGCAGTTTCATTTCCTTTCGCAATATTAGCAAAGCCCTATGAGATGAATAGAACAGAGAATAGAAAAGAAGATAGCATCGGTATAGTATTTACTGTAACAGTTGCACCCACAGTCGATTCATTGAAGCGACATTGTCCTTGTATTGCTTTGTATGGATAGCTGGCTTCTGTATCCACACCTTTGTTAACTTTAATGTATTGAAATGCAGCATTGACTAGCCCTCCATTACAACCTTCATTACCAAATTTATCCGAACAATCCAATAGATTCTGAGCTGAAAGTCGTACCAATTTGCCTGTCTTGAGAAAATGTTGTCCTTCTAGTGCAGTTGTTGCTGTATAAGCCCAATCGGAACCACATTCACCTTGACTCTCAATTATCGAAGTAACAGCACCTTTCTTACGCCAGTCTACAAATCAATTTAATTGAGAAGAATTCAGTTATTAGAGACTAACCAACAGCAGCTGGTATCGATGGATTCGTATTCAATGGCGGATGAAATATATGTCGATTCGATTCAGTTGATAATTTTGCTGCTTGATTCATTTTAAACTTACTTGACATAGTTCGCACAATTTCGTTATGTGTCTAAATATGAAAAACACCCTTCGAGGATAATATTCAAAGTAGATAAATATAGTTATACCATATCAGCGAATTTATTAATCTTGAGTGTATAGGAATGTAAGCCTAAATCAGCTTCAAGATTATGTTGATTAATCATGGCGACTCTGTCGTTAAAGACAGTTTGACTAGAATAGATTGTAGGACTTAATAACATAAATACACTTCGTCCTAAGTTTCTTTTTTACCGATAATTTTCTTCTTCAACATTGACATATTGTTTTAGGTGGATGCGTTTGAATGAATTCCAGAGTTCTGGTGATGTAAACTCGTTTGGTTTTGCATTAACAAAGGATAATACAGCGATGAGTAAGCAAAGTAGCTGCATATCAGCAAATGACTGTGCACTAAGTTATGATAACATGAGAAAATTTCGTATCATTATAAATACATAAAAGATAACAATTACGATGACTTGCAGAAACTATGTAAGCTTACCTGATATATTTCAAAGTACTTTGCCGCTTGTTTTCTAAAGTTCGTCGTAATGATCAAATTGATTTTCGCTAATTTAAATGGACGAATCACAATACAAACAATCTCGAAGATGTAAAATGAGTATGGCTAGAGGTATGGCTTGAGATTGACACCCTCAATATGCACATATCGTGATTGAAACTGCTGGGTGTGCCTATCTAACATGGTTCAAGGTTCCTGCCCATTCACTCCGATGATCTTCTGAACGAATAATTCAAAATAGCTGTGCTTACTTTGCTCAAAAGTACTTTCAAAATAGCATTTTATTTTGTAACGTCAGAGGATCTTATTAGAAGAGTTAAGAACGTGAAAATTGCTTTAGTTCACAGCTGAGCACCATTTCTAACGATTTCACTCGAAATCCATGTTGTACGTATTGTTGGAGAGAAATGTCCGAGTAACCAATTATGATAAAAAAATAACATATTCTAAAAGCTATTTTTAGGTGTTTGACAATTATTAGAGCACGGTCATTTCTCCACTATACTTTCATTCTGCCTATCTCGTTTCCAGAAAATAGTAGCTTTCTTGGGTAAGAATTATTTCCTTCGTTCTATGGTCAATTATACAGGATGTTCCAAAAGTCCGGCCGAAAAGATCTTTGAATATCTCTAGAAGAAGTAAAGTAATTTACTTAGGCTTTCGTAGTTTTATTTCAGTATAAATTGGTTCACAACAGTTGTTCAAAGTGGTCTCTTTCGATCAGTATACATAAATGTATTTTTTTTACAATATTGGAAAAAGCATCAGTTAAAGTTTTTTTTAAAATTTTGTTAATTTCATCAGCAATATTCGTTTTCAATTTGCCGAGATCTTGAATCCATCTCATGGAATCACCTCGACCAATCCATCTGTTGCGAAAAACATTCTCTAAAAGCTGACGTATTTCCCGACTGAGATGAACAGGAGATCCAACCTGTTGATATAATATAGAATTTAAGATACGTAATCGTTTTAATTTTGGAATAAAGAAATCATTGAACATTAAAAGTTAACTTTGACCATTATTAATGATGTTATCATAACAAAAAATAAGGTCCAATTAATCGATTTTCTGATATTGCACACCAAACATTCACCTTTGGAGATTGCATCATCGTTTCAACTGTTACACATGGATTTTCTTCGCATCAATATCTAACGTTATGTTTGTTAACAAAACCATTCAAATGAAAGCCAGCCTCATCTGAAAAAAGACATCGTTTTTGTTTTGGGGATCAGTCATCAATGCTAAGAGCATTTGACACATATTAATACGATCTTGACAATCCTCTTCATATAGTTATTGAACAAATTGTACCTTGTATGGTTTTAACAATAAGTGTTCTGTCATAATTCGATAGGTTGTTGTTTGTGGTATTGAAGAATCTTGTGCCACAAATCGGAAACTTGATCCTGGATAATTTTCAAGTGTATCATTAATTACTGTTGGTCTTCTGGATCGTGATCTATCTTTAACACTACCAGTTTCACAAAATCATTCAAATACGCTACTGGTCCCATGTTCGATCGGCGTACTTTTGCCCAAGTCCACTTGTAATTTTCGTCTTACTACAGTGACTGATTCGAATTTGGCCATAAGTAAAACTATTTCAATTCTGACTTCGATAGGTAGAGACATTTTATCTAAAATATATAACATAGAAGTTTAATGAATACTGCATCAAACCTAATGAGAATTATCAAAATCGTTTGAACTGCTAAAGAAGTATTCGCATTATTTTTTCGGTCGTACTTTTGGAACACCCTGTACTTTTCAAAAGTGTTCCGGGAAATCCTTGGTTCATTTGTTGGTGGTGAACGAGTTATGATGAGTTCAAATGCTTTTCCTCGATTTGCACACGTTGAAAAAAACGAATTGATTGAGATCTAGTTTCTCGGATTGGATTTCTAACGTGCAGTTTCGTCTTTACTGATGAACTGACCACAGTAAACTTGAAATATAGCACTTTTTTCCGTTGTTTCTTTACAAATGACGAATGTTCTTCACCAAGTTGAGCATTTAAATATTTGATAAATGATGCGAAGGGTTTGACACCATCAATATTCTGTATATGTAGTACTTCATTGAGATTTTTATAAACAGGCGATTCTTCTGTGTACCAGAATGTCGCTGTAGTGCGTCGATAGGTTTTATCGAATTCTTTTAATGATTTTCCCTGTTTTTCATCATCTGATTGTTCAATAACCATCGTGCCTTTTAGGATCTGGTCGATCAATATTTGATAAAGACGAAACTCACCGCTTAAATTGACGCGTCACAAATGATATGAGAAAGAATTTTTTCAATATTTGCTCCAAGTGAGTATATTTGATTACAGAGCTGATCACAGTTGAGACGATATGTATTATGGATATGAGTTGAGTTCCCTTTAATCACGAAAATAGTCGCCATTTAGCTACAAAAGTTGTACTACTCATTACATATCTACTTGAAATAAGTTCGATTAAGATGGTCTGAGTATAATAGGCCTTGAGCCTAACTGTTACAGCGGACATAATCAACAAATTTCATGAAGAATACATCCAATCTCTAAATATATCATAGAGATATTCAGCGCCTTATTTTTCAAAATCGATTGTATCAAGAATTCGAACTTTTCGATTAAGCTATTAAATTTGAACAAAATGAAATTTGGTTTGAATGTCCCATTTATTTACTAAATGATTTTTCAAACAACACTTCCGCAATATTCAAAACAAGTTTCTTTGTTCAAGGCTTATACATCTTTGGCATTATTTCTTACGAAAGTAATTCATATAAATGGCAATTACTCTTTATTTTACTTCATGCAATTGCTTAGATAATATTTGACTCGACAGTTCGTCAAGCATTTCGCCTATCCTGTGTGATGATAAGAATATGGAAAAGTACAACATCTAACAGATTGCTTTTGAATGTCATTAGCAAAAACTGTTTTCTTTCAGTGTTTTCTGTGGATGGAAACGACATCTAGGTTATGAGAAAGAAATCGTAATTTGTAAAATGGATCTTCATCTTTACTTTTTGTATTTGCCCGAAAGTCAGGAAATATAAGCTCAAGCAGAAATGAAGTCAAACAACTGTTCTTCCATTCACAATGAGAAAAAAATATGATGGTTGAACGAGAAGAGAGGAAGAAAGAAAAAAGAAGTAACTTTCCTAATTGAACAAACTGTTTATTGTTCCATTTCTTTACGTGCATGAAGGCTTGTTTTTCAATGACTTTTTTAGCAAGAATTTGTCTCTTGCTGCTGTTTGTATTCATCAGACAATCAACTACACAGCAAGTGCGATCATTTCTCATGTCTGTCAGCATTGGACGCAGATTTCAGTGTGCAAACACAAGTTGTTTGCCATTTCGCACATCGATTGTATCCGAAGTTCTAAATTGTCAAACAAATTGTTTAACTGAAACCTATTGCAAAGCAGCTAGTTTCTCTACAATCACGTTTGGATGTGACCTATTTGACAACATTCTTGATCACAAGGCAGATCTGTTGGCTGATGTGAACACGATAAGTATGATTGTTGTCGGTGGAACAAGAATACCATCTGGTAAGCATATATGTTAAAGATATAGACTGGTTTGTACAGAGGTATTTGTGTGAACGAACTTAGACGTCAAATGATATGTAAAGCAGTTCAGCACGAACTATTTGTTCATTGATATAGTTTGTTCCATTCTATTGTTTTTTAGCAATAGAAGTAACGGAAATCTCTATAACACCATCGTCATCAATGTCTTTGACTTCAAAATTAATAACGTCATCAACATCTTCTTCATTAATATCCACATTGATAACTTCGTCAAGATTCTCAACGTCCACATCAGATTCAACTACAGTTACTTCATCCTCGTCTTCAACGTCGTCAGCAACAACATTGACATCATCGTCGACGTCAACCACTACTACATCATCCTCTTCGTCAACAATAACGTCTGGTTCAACATCATCTACCTCCATGACTTCGTCATCATCCTCCACATCAACATCAGAAACAACAACGTCAACTGCTACTACCTCATCATCATCTTCAACGTCGACGTCAGAAACGACAACATCAGCAGCCACAACTTCATCATCATCATCCACCTCAACGTCTCAAACAACGACATCGGCGACAACAGCAACAACAACAACAACATCTTCGTCGACGTCGGAAACGACAACATCAGCAACCACAACGTCTCAGACAACTACTTCGGCAACAACAGCAACAACAACAACATCATCGTCCTCGACATCCACATCGGCAACATCGACGACATCAACAACAACAACTACTGCTTCCCGTAAGTCACTGAGCACCATGCGTGACATATCAGCGCATATGTTCCCCGTTTTTTCCTCGAATGAACTTCATGAGTTGTATCTTTTAGCATGTCCATGGGGCGGCATTCCGCTTACCTTTGATAATATACCAAACGCAGATGCTGTTCAGGGCGCCCTACCATCCAACTATAGTGGACTCTCTTGGACTAATGGAAAATATCTGAACGCAACTGCATTTTCAACGACTGGTTGCATTTATGCACTCGTTTCTGGTCAATATGTAACGTTTTTGAAAAGTACTGTCATAATTCAAACATTGCCGAACAATGCAACGATTACACTGAATTCAGGTCAATTTTCGTCTGCATATGCAAACGGTAATCGTCTAATGATGACTGGTTACGATGGAAGTTCAGCATTATACAACGTTACACTTGCATTAAATGTATATTCGAGATATTCGGGAGTGTTTAATTGGACTGGAGTGAATAAAATTGTTCTTCAGCCAACGGGAACAGGTTATTGGGACACGTGTATTGATAATTTATGTATCACTTTTTAATACCACATGAGAACATTTCCGCTTCAATTCATGTCGAATGACTGTCTAACAGCATAATGATAGTAATGAGTTAGAAATGCTTACTCTCAATTGGAAAAGTTTTGTTTCGCAGTGAACGAGAAGCGATATATTTTTTTAAATTTCAAATACTGGTTTTTATCACTTCACATGAATTGTCGTAATAACAATTATGATTCAAAGTTTTATGCTCAACTTGAAAATAAAGAGTTTTATCGAGTGAATTTATATTTATCCCACACCTACGTCGTGGCCCACAAGAATAATGCTTGTGTCTGAAACTATAATTTTTCTTACTAACTAGTTATCAAAATGAAGTTTTCTCATGTGTGAGGAATTTTGCAGCAAACAAATCTGATTTCTACGTGACACAATATTTTTTTAGAAAATTTCGTGTATTGATTCTCTTTGGAACATTTAGCAGAAACAACAGGCTACAGGACAATGATGAAACATTGTCATCGACGAAGCTTTCTCTACAATCTCTTCAATAAATTGTTATCTTCTTGATAGTACATCATAATTTGCATGATCGAATGTTCGTAGTAAAAGATCATAAGTCCATGTAAATCCTGGCCATATTATCGTGTTATTTCCTTTCGGATCTTGATACCACGAATGACAACCACCTGCTTGCCAAACAGTTTTCTTCAATATTGACTGTATTTCTTCATTGAATTTAGCACTGATATGTTGCTTTACAGCCATTGCTCGAATCCCTTTGTTTTCCATATAGATCAATGCTTCTATAATATACTTAAACTGTGCTTCGATCATCACCACAACGGAATTGTGTCCAAGTCCTGTATTTGGACCAAGTAACAGAAACATATTGGGAAAATTCGGTACAGTAACACCACGATAGGCCTTCGTACGAAACAAAATTACATTAGATTTGTTTCTAGAAGTGCGGAAAAACATACTTGTACAGTTTGTGACCATTGTTTTTCAAGCGAATGTCCTTGGATGCCAAACATTGGAATGGCAAGTGCATGAACTTTGAATCCAGTCGCCCAAACGATAATATCAACCGGATATTCATCTCCATCGAAAGTCACAATCGAATGCGGTTTTAACTGTTGAATTCGATTGGTGACGATAGTGACATTCGGTTGTTGTAATGTCGAATACCAATCACTACTCAATACAGTTCGTTTACAACCATAATCCCATTTCGGCATTAACTTCTCACGTAGTTGCGGATCTTTAACTTGTAGGAAGAAGATCAATCGAAGTAATTTTTGTGTAACGAAACGTAGTGGTAGTCGATATACGAATGATAAGACGGTTGATTCTAGTCTCCAATAAAGACAAGCTCGAAAAAACTTTTGAACAAATGGAAAGTTGGCATAGAGTTTCTTCTCCAATTGTGTCAATGTTCGATTCTGTATAGCAAATACCCAAGGTGGTGTTCGTTGAAAAACATACAGGTGTTCAACACCGTAGTTCTTCTGTAGTTCAGGAATACATTGTACCGCACTTGAACCAGTGCCGACCACCGCAACTCGTTTACCTTGAAAATTGATGTTATCATTCCATTCAGCTGTGTGACATATTTCACCTTGAAATGTTTCTAATCCTTTGATATCCGTTGGATACGATGCATTAGATAATACACCATAAGCACCGATCAAATACCGACCATAAAAGCATTTTTCATCTTTAGTCGTCACTCGCCATAAATGACGATCGTCAAGCCAATCACATTGAAGAACAGTGGTGTTGAATTGAATGTGTGATCGAAGATGATATTTGTCTGTACATTTTTCAAGATAATCAGCAAGTTCGGCTTGACCACTGTATTGATGGCTCCATTCTGGATTCATTTCAAATGAATAGGAATAAAGATTCGATGGGACATCTACTTGACAACCTGGATATCGATTTGCATACCATGTGCCACCGACATGCGAATGGCGTTCTAAGATGATAAACTTATTCATATTGACTTCTTTCAATTTAATACCCATTCCCAAACCAGAAAACCCTGCACCAATAATGATCGTATGATACTCATTTTCGTTGTCACTCAATGTCCATTGGAAATTTAATTTCTTCTTATCGTTTCGATCGAAAATAATCCAATGAACAACATAACCAATGAGGCCAATGATGATTGAGATAGTCCATGTTAAATAACTGATCCCGATTAGCAATCGAAATTGCCATTTAGACATGATCGATGTACACACACCCTGTGTATGTGAAGAACAACGGGTAGAATGAATGAAACAGATTCATTGAAATATATATATATATATATATATATATATATATATATATGCATAGCGATTTATATCACATGCTTCGTTTGTTGATGTTTGTTATCTTTTATCAAAGCAATCATTTAAGTGCATGCAATACACAATAAGAAAAATGTAAATGCGCATTTATCTTTGACATCGATATTTCTTCTGTATTCATTTGCGCTCTAAACAAGATAATAACATTGGTTTTAGCTCTAGATTTATAATCGTTCTTCATTTGAAATAGTATATAGTAAATTTAGAAATTCTGAATGTGTTTATATGATTTAGCAATTTATGCAGTATTTGATGAGGAATCAGGGTCCATTATATTCATTTTTTTGCTTCATAGAACATTGAGTTCTTCTTTGAAGAATCATTTCACTCAATTGATTGAAAAATTCTCCAGCGATTGCCTTTTCAAATACAATAGTTTCCAGACCAAAAGTGCCTTTCATTGTAATACATTGTTTTTTACGACAGTACCATAAAAAGACGAACATAATCACACCAATAATGACAAGTGCAGTACTTGTTGGCTGAATGTATTCGAGTACGTAAGTAAATCCGAATATATCGGAAATTAGTCCAGTAAGTAATGTCAATATGGCCAGAATTGGTAGATTTTCATTCTGACGCGCTTCGTCGATACGATCGATTGAATCGAGTATGATTGAAGAGTAAGAGTAGCGACGAAAATAACTGCTAAGCATCTCTTCCCAACGAATCAAGAGTCGAACATTAGTAAGAATAACAATTGCTTTCTTCATTTGAGAACGTTCATAACCTTCGTATTTACTCACAATTATTTCACCACCGAACAGAGCAGGAAAAGTAGTATCGTTGTCCATTACCAATTCTGTAGAAAACAAAAGTGTATGTTACTTGCTTAAAGTTTTGTAAATTTTATCGTTATTCTCAATATTTTCTATATTTATATCTTTGCACGAATGGGAATAACCCAGTTGTCTTAGAATATCTCTGACATTTGAGTATATATATGGACCAGAGAGTAGCTAGGATATGCGTGATCGAAGAAAGGAAAAAAAGAACATAGTGCCATCTAGCATTTCTCCCATACGATGAGATTATTCCGTGATAAACGCGCAATGTTAGTTCTACTAGCGCTTCGAATGGAATGGGAACGTATGTACACTGCGTTGATGACTTTCGATGAAAAACGTGTTAACGGTAATGATGATGCACTTTCTTCTAATCAAGAACGGCATCTTCTACACACAAATATATGTGATTATAACTAGTTATATGGTTCAAAGTGAAAGATATTCCATTAAATCAATGTCAGTTGCCTATAATAGATAATTCACTAATTTCTCAGTCATCATGTCCCTCTGTTGATCTGCCATGAATTTCATTTAGAGACGACGTGAAGTCATTGTTGTGATGTCCTTATAAAAACTCTATAGTTCGACAGATTTTTTGTCGTCTTTTTCACACGAACGTGATCACAGTGAATATTTAACAAAGAGCAAACAACAAATATTTATTCACATCGATCACTTCTCATTTATTACAATCTATATATTACTTGGCATTCAATACATTCGAATATTGTGTCTACCTTCCGTGACTTTACTTTCAAACAAATATTCACTTTTGAAATCATATGCGTAATCAGATTAGATTTGTTCAGTGCTAGACATAGAAATGAGAAAGAAGAGAAATCAGTATAAGTATAGAAGAAACAACCATCAGATCTCATTGTTCGGTAATGTTGATCGAATCTAAGACAACCATCTATCGTTTTTAAAATATTTCTAGTTAAAAATCTTGATCTCTCCTTTTGCATTATAGCTCTTTCGTTTAATCAATTTGAATTTTGTTTAAGAGCAAAATAAAATTCGAATCCGAGTGTTTTAGTTGACAAAGAAACGAATAATGCTCTACATCCAGTTCTGTTTATTGACAGAAATAACACAATTCATAATACTTCTGAGAAACAAAAGGAGAAACTCTACTTCGGTTCCAACGTAGGAGTCAGTCGCTGCATGTCAATTGTCCCTGCGTATGGAGTAGAAATATTCTCGTTATTTGTAATCAGCAACAGTGATGTTTATCTAAGTTTTGAGGGAAACAAAATTGTCAAGTGAATAGCAGGTTCGAATAAGTCTGTTCCTGTTATGCGTTGCGAAATTGATTGTTTTAATCTCTTTATCAATCACAGCAGCAATTTATACTGTTCGATATTTTTTGCACATATACATAGTTACCAAACGTTCGTTGAATGATAATGTCCTAAGAAATATGAAAGTCGCAGCTGGAGTATTTGCTAGGAATTTCACTACGTATCAATTGAATAGTGCTAAGTGAATATTTGTCAGTACAAATTTAGATTTATGCGTGGCTGATTGTTATAACCATCGAATTAAACGTTTTTCTTCCAACATTCTCGAGGGAAAGACAGTAGCAGGAAAACGTTCATCGAATATTACAATTCTGCTCTATGGACCCACTTCGATTGCACTCGATGCTGATGGATATCTTTTTATTGTGGGTTCGAACATTTTATTTAGAAAAAATTCTTGTGGTAAGTGAAAAATTGTTTGATGAAGATATAAGCAGTGAAAGTTTTCTTCAGATTATCTTAGACAGATAACTTTCAAAGCTGTTGACATTAATTATCGGATAATTACAACGGGCTGTGTTAGATATCTCTATTTGTCTAATGCATGTTCCACTAAGTATTCAAGTCACATATTCATCCACCTTGACAAGCGACCATATCACATTTTCACGTACTTTGAAGCCATACAAGTGACTGTAGATAAAAACGGTTGTTTTTATTCTCATTGGCCAAAGCACTGTCGATCTCTATGGCTTTATATACAACAGGTTCGTTCTCAATCACTGCATTTGACTCAGACGCAGTTCACCTGCAACATATGGGTGAGTTATACATAGTATTGATCTTGATTTGTTTTTATATTGAAGAGGAGTCGAATCAGCTGTAGAACCCATCTACGCATCTGCATTGACAAGAGATCATACCACATTCAGCCGGCTTTTCTGTTTCCCATCCGGAAGATTCTATTATGAAGTGATGCAAGTGAATGTGAATGGAACTGGCATTTATACAATTCTCGGCAGCAGCAATTACATGTCCATTTCCAGTTATATATATGAATATGATTTTTATTCTGTACTGCCATTTGGAAACTTAATCTCGGGCACAGACAATGATTGTTACGGTCTTGCAAGTCCGATTACTGCTAGATTGACGAACAAAATTCGGTATGTATTGGTTGTGACATCGAAATATTCGTTAGAATTAACGATACATAGACAAAAGTATTCTAAGGACTGTACAAGTTCGCTTCACTACTATGAGTCTATACGATTAATTGTGTCCATGGATGCATATTATACTGTCTCAACCAAGGGAGACTCAGATACATATATTGATATCTACGAAAATCCTTTCGATCCGATGGATCCACACCGGAATGAAAATACACCCAAATATACAGTTTGTTTCACTCGCATTCGACGGACTGTACAGGTATATTTCGAGCTGATGCCACATATATCTTAGTTACCTCAACGTATGAACCACTGACGCAAAACTCGTTTACAATCACAGTAAATAGTTCAAGAAATGTTAGTTTTGAACGCATTGGTAAGCGTTTCGGGATTTTTATTAGTGAACAGTACGACAGAAATGCTTTTTTGATCAAGTAAAAATCTAAATTGCAAAAGAGGCTGGAAATCAGTAGCATTTCTATTTGATATAGTAAAAGAAGTCGTCTTCCTGGTTCACAATGTTCAATATTTCGGAGCCAGTCCTGTCAGCCATGAACTCCCAACACCACACGAAATACCCCATTCATTTATTCCCACTCGCATTTTATATAAGTGATTAACGCACTATTTTTTAGTTGATAATTCGTCTTATTACTATGTGAAACTAGGCACGACACTACACGATCAGCCACCTGTTATCAAAATGAGTGCTGTCTTTATAATAATTCTATGCGTTGCGAGTGTCATAAATAGTTTTTGTTCAGTTTTTACTTTTCAAAGCTTGCGTAAAGTTGGATGTGGACTGTATCTTTTAACGTCGTCAATCACTTCTTTCTTTACAATTATGATCCTAACACTCAAATTTTGGTTTGTTGTTCTCTTATACATGAGCGCGTCGGTTAATTTATCTATTCTTCAAGGTGGTTGTACATCCCTTGAAATTCTTGCATGAACCGATGTATCGTCAGCTAACTGCATATAAACCACAGGACACAAAGATACAAATCAATCGGCTTGGCGTAAGGAGATTCACCAAAGGCAAATATACGTAGTGTACGACTTCATACTCTTAATCATGTTCAAGATTATAATACAGCTATTCTATTTATTCATCTTTTCTCTGCTATATTCGTCATCGTTGGATATGTTCGACGGCGAGTAGATGCCCAACAACATCAAACTTATAAACAACTTGTCATTTGTCAACGCCACGTATAGTCATTTCTTTGTTATCCGGATGTTTCGACGTGGCTGACTATGTATGGTTGTACACTTCGACTTATATGATTTCGTTTTTACCAACAGTTCTCCTCTTCGTAGTGTTCGTTATTCCATCACATTCATATAGAACAACTTTCAAAGAATCGTCCTTTCGAATTCGCCGAAAAAAAACGATCGAAGAATCGTTCTTGAACAGGATGATTTGCTTCTTCAGCTTTTTGGCTTTCGTTCGCTTCTTTTTTTATGTACAATTCAGAATATTATCCAATAAATGCAGCGGTAAATACCTAAAAGTGATCATCAAGCAGTGCAGAGTTTTGAATCAACCTTGCATCGTTCTCATACTATAGTAGAAAAGTTTTAAGACGAGCTTGTTGGAAAACGCCGAACAGAGCGCATGACTCATAATGTATACAATAAGTTTCATCCGTTCTCTTCACTTATTCTTTGTATCACGAGTCAAGTTAGTAGATATTCTTCTTATTCTTAAATTTACCAACATCGTCACAACGAGTATAGAGGATGCAAGTTGATATATTGTCCACCATTATTTGGCTTGCTGTTCGACGCGATGATGACCGAACAGTATCTGAAAGTATTCGACAACTACGAACTTTTATTGCACCGATTCACAGATTTGAAAGTGTAGAAGATTGCTTCGCCTATTTATGGAAGTCGACAGCGGAAAAAATAGTCCTAGTCGTTCATGAACAATTCACGAGAGAGATTTCTCCTCAAATTAAACAACTACCGTACATCGTGGAAATTAAGGTTTACGATGACAATCGAACAGAAGAAATAGAACACTTATTGAAAGATTTTCACAGTCGGGATCAAATTCAATTGCAACATCGGATTCGCATAAATGAACCATTGCCTATCAAAATATTGAATACAGATGGACAAACATCGAGAGCAATCGATGGTGGTTATCTTCACTTTCATCGCTTTATTGAAGTTATTCTCCAAAATGAAACCAAAGTACCGGAACGGAGCGATTTGATTCAATATTTTCGAGAAATATATGAAAAAGATAAAGTCAACTTGCACAAAGTCGACCAGTTCGAAAAAACCTATCACCAACAGAATTGTCTGAAATGGTAATTTCAAACAATCTGTGAATTATAATATGAATTTTTATGAATTGTATAGGTACGCGAACGAACCATTCATGTATGCAACCTTGAATCAATCTCTTCGAACGCGAAACATTGAATTGATTCTTCTTTTCGGATTTTTTATTCGAGATCTCAACGAACAACTTCAGTTGTTAGCTGGTGAACAGCCGAAAACAACTCTAATACTTTATCGGGGACAATGGATGTCGAAAACCGAAGTCGAACAGATCGAACGGTGTCAAAATCAACTCATTTCAATCAATTCATTTTTCTCTACGAGCTTAAATCCCACTGTCGCCTCGTTATTTCTTGCGAGTACGAATAATTCCGATGATCGCGAACGAGTTCTGTTTAAAATGGAAGTCGATCCTCGTGTCCTTAATATAAAACCATTTGCGAATATTTCTTCGATATCTTCTTTTGCAGATGAACAAGAAATTCTGTTCATGACCAATAGCATCTTTCGAGTACAGTCAGTCGCTTCAAATAAGGATAAGCAAATCGTCATTCGATTAACTCTATGCAGCGAGAATGAACACAATCTTAAAAATGTTTATGCACGATTGTGCCATGGTCAAAGTAAAGGCTCGTTAACACTTGGAGATGTTTTACTCGATATGGGACAAGCAAAGTTAGCAGATCGGTATTCCAAATGGATTTTTAATCAAGTGAAACCGAATGAGCTATCGAATTATTATAACCAATGTGGAATGATTGCGGGACACTTGGGAAACCATCAACTAAGTATTGAACACTTCCAGAAAGCACTGTTGAATACAGATGAAACTGATATTGTTGGATGTGCACAGATTAATCATAACATGGGTATAGCTTATGATGAATTAGAAGATTCAACTGCGGCTTTGGATTGTTTTAACGAAACTTTGAATAGATTCCGAAGTCTAAAAAAAACGGAAGCTTACTCTGATGACATTGCTCAATGTTTCAATAGTATTGGAGCTTATTATGCAGATCAGAACGACTACGAAAAAGCCGTCGAGAATTTCACAGCCGCTCTCGACATTCTACGCGAGTTCTGTCCCCATAATTACTCCGACCTTGCGCTATCCTATATGAATATTTGTAACGCTTATGCCGATCTTGGTCAACATACAAAAAAAATTGAATACTACGATCGAGCATTGGAATTGTACAAGGATTCGATTCCTCATGATCATCCTGAACTCCTTGAATTGTACCATAATATGACTCGAACATTTGAGGAAGCAAGCCAGTATTCAGAAGCCATTGCTGCACTGGAGAAAACGCGTTCAGTACGCCTTGAAACTCTTTCATTCACTGACTCTTGCATTGTTAACATTGAAAAAGATATTGTACGTTTGAAACAAGAAGAAGCGCAAGATGTCCATAAACAATAAAATTTTGTACAGAGAGGCACTCATCATTTACAGTTGAAATGAGTGTAAAGAGAATGCGAGAAAAGTACAAACAACTTTTCTTTCGATTTTCTGCCCACGTTCGGTCTGAAGAGCAACCTCAGGTGAAAGAAAACGAGTAGGTAGAATTATTTTCGTAGGAGGCTTAAGTGGAATATTTTTGTTTGTTTTTGAATATCTGAATAAAAATATTAATACAATCACCGAAGTATAAAAAGGTATGAATTTCATCGATTAAATTTAACAAATCTCCAATTCAAATATCGTGATCATCAATTCCAGCAACGCTATGTATTCAACTGGTTTATTTCTTTTTCTGGCATCAATGCTCGGTTTGGTTCAATCTCAAACATGGGCTGGTACTTATACAACGGATAATACCTGTCCTACATCATCTTGCTGTTGTTTGAGCGGACAAGTCGTCGTTGCAAGTGCATCGGCGAACACGTACTCAGTGAATTCGCCGGTCAGTGGCGTATGTAGCGGTGCTACTACGTATTCTGGTACTCTTTATACGAGTGGCTTTGCAGGATGGATGATAGTGATATCTGGCAACAATACTGTCACTCTCAGTTCCGACAGTAAAGTTATCACCGTGATTAACTGGAGCAATCCATTATGCAGTGGTTTGGGAACGAAAAGTGCTGGGGACAGATTGGATGTTAATATTTTTAAACTTTTGATTCTCTCCGTGATTTCCATGATGATGAGTTTTCTCTTTTTCTGAATCTTTTCTCTCTAAATTTTACTTCCTGTAGTTCGTGTGTGTTCCTTTCCTTGATTTAATCCACGTATTTAGAGTAATAAATATTGATCCCAGTTGTCTTTAAAAATAATATTAATCATTTCATGTTTGCTAGACAAAGAAAAGGAAAACTTCTGTTTGTTAATAAGTAAACAGCGTTTGCCTCCTACGCATGCACACTTTGCTTTTCTTTTTATATTCTCAGGTAAACATCGCCTACAGCTCAAAGTTGAAAGTTTAATCCAGTTGAGATTTCATAATTCAATCGTTTGCTTCTTCGAGATGATTTTCGATTTCAAAATTTTATCGTGTTCAATTTTTTTCTTTATTAAGTGCAAACTATCATCGAACATAGAAAAATGTTAATGTGTAAATGAATTGTCGGTTTATGCGACTTCTCTTAACGGTTAAAAAACATAGTTTCTTTCTGTTTCCCCCTATTTGATTTCCATATCAATATTGTAGTTTGATGCCATTTGCGCTGACGGTTCAAGTAGAGAACGCGGTCCATTTTGTTCGATAAAACGATGCATACGTCGTTGATGGACCATTTTACTCAATCGAATTTCGAATTCATTAGCAGTCGATTTCTCAAATACTATCGTTTCCGAGCCAAAAGGACCTTTGAATGTAATGTATTTGTACTTGTTGCCACAACAGAAAACAATCAGAATGAGCACACCGATAATAATACCACCTATACCCATTGAGAACAACTGCGTTGCTTTATAGACGAAACCGCCGATAATCAAACCGATTCCTCCAAGTAGCAGGAATATCATTACAAAGATTCCCGCGGTTTCTTGGAGACGCGCATCATCAATGCGATCAATGGAATCGATCATGATTGAAGAGTAGGAAGAATGAGTAAAGCAGCCGCAAGTCATTCCTTTCCAGCGAATTAAAAGCCGAAAATTAGTAAGAATGGCTATTGCTCTCTTCATTTGAGAACGGTCTGCACCTCTGTATTTACCCATAATCATTTCACTCTCGGATAAAGCAGGAAAAATAGTATCGTTGTCCATTAAACTGCTTGTTTATCTTTGTACACCGTCAATTCACTCACCGAAGAAAATATGACTCCTATTTCATTTAATTTCCTCTTTTTTATTTATCTTGGTATGATGGCCTACCACTCTCGTGAAATTCGACTCTTTTTTTCGCAGTTGGAGAAAAAGAATACAATTGGAATTCAACAACTGTTTTGCTTATCAAGGTGTGATTTTATTCGAGCAGATTGTCTGTGATCGTTGTACTCGATCTATCATGAGGCGAGCGAGAACAACGTTCGAAGCAAGTTTTTTTGTATAAATCTCGATAACTATATGCGATAGTGTCATTGACGTCAGTGCGACGAAGAATCCACATCAGTCGGCAGCGTAACACTTCACAAATGGCAACAAGTTCGTAAAATAATCGATTGCGATCATCAGTGGCTTGTTTCATCAGTGGTGGAATTTCACCTACAGCCAATCCTATATTCGCACGAAAAGATAATTTCAATAAGGACTGCTCAGCAATTCTTACCAATGAGAAGATTTGTTACCAAGACAGTCATGATGACAAGAAACAGAAGATAAATTACGAATGTTATCTTGTAATAGGCTTTCGTCTCTGTATTGTGTATTCGATCATCAAAATCCAACTCTCCCGAGATCATGAATGCTAAAGTACAAGGAACGAAATACATAATTTGACGAAAACTATAGTTCAACATACCTGTTTTGATGTAAGAATAACCTGTATTCTGAAATGGTTCGAAGTTTTGAAAAACCATATGAAACGCGAATGCAAATCCGCTGATAAGAATGAGCAACACCGACGAAAATCGTAGAAATTTCTTAATGATAACGAAAAGCATCGTCACATAGGTTCCAACTACTGGTATGAATTGAATATAGCCCAGTAGATTTAACCAACTGAGAAGTAAACCAAATGCTCCAAGTTCCCATTGAAAAGGACAGCGAAGGGTAAAGTGCATTTGAAAATTCTGATCATAAACAAAGACAAAACTTGCTAGGACTGCAACTGTCTCAAACCAATATCGAAAAGTTCCGAAGAACCGAGTTTGCAAAATTTCGACAATGCTAAACACATTTTTGAGCAGAAGAGACGAAGTCACGAGGTACATAACATATTTCAAGATGTAATCCACTGCTGTTTTCGAACCAGACGATCCTCGAAGTGCCTGGGACACATTGTAACACAGATCGTTTTGAAAATCAACATCGGTCAAATTATAAAACGTCGCCGGATGATGTGTACGCAATACCAACGTCGTAAATAAGCCGAGATAAATAATGTAAAGCAAAAGTAACAAAATATAGAGGAAAATACCGAATTTTTGAAATTTCATATTCAGAAGATAACTACTCAGTGGATGTGACATAAGATCATAAGCTTGATACCGAGCCATTAGAAATAAGGGATGTTTCATGACGACATCGACTGTGTTCGATGTGTACAGTGTCCCGTGCACATTATTGTCCGATCCAGAAGATTTCTGATGTTGATTCCATGTGTTAACGATGAATTGATCCTCTAAAAATTCGTACATAAAAATACTTTTGTGTTCAGCCGTGTCTTTCGTGCGAATTGTCATCGAGCATTTATCGAGTACGAGCAAAGCCATGGAAGGCATGTTACGAATAAGCTTGCGCATTGGTGTATCGACTTCACATTGGTGAGTAAACAATGAGCAAGAGGAGTGGTTTTTCGTTCGAATTTGTGAATTGCGCATGAGATTAAAACAATGGTCATGTTCTATTAAATAGCGAACTACTTCTTCATTTTTTGCCTCAATTGCCACTTCAAAACAATTGTGGCCATCGATATTCGTAGCAAATAGATCACAATCAAAATCAATTAACTGTTTGACAATTTTACTGGACGCATGTTCACACGCAATATGCAATGGTGTTTCCTGTCGAATAGTTAATGCATTGATATTGATCATGCTATCGATAACAAGACTTGTGATGCATGCAGTTCGCTCAGCGTTGCATCTCACTGCGTGATGTAATGGCGTCCACTCGTTTATATCACAAAGATGTGCATCCGCCTGGTGCCTAAGAAGAGTATCGACGACTTGAATGTGGCCTATGAAATAAACGAGAGAGTGAGTACGAAAGGTGTTTTGTCTAACCTTTTGCAGCAGCCATATGCAAGCCTGTACGCTGCTGATCATCACACATATTGACCATTGAGGAATCGGCATACAAGTACATTTCATTGATAACATCCAAATGCCCCGCTTGCACAGCCACATGGAAAGGTATGAGCTTTTCTTTATTCTTCTTCGTTAATAATGATGAACCGTGTCCGACGGTGTATCGAAGCAATAGTTGAGTCATAAATATGTTACCAACTCGAGCACAGACGTGTAGAGCTGTATCACCGGAGATGTCACTAGTACGTGCCAATGTATTGGACATGAAGTGAGAATTCAATAGTAATTGAGTAATCTGATTGTCTTGAGCTTTTGCACAAATATGTAACACTGTACAAAACGAGACGCTGGTGGCTAAATCAAATACTTCCTGTGTAAAATATTTGTTGCGCAAAAGCTGTTTGATACATTCGAGCTGCCGATATTGCACAGCAACCATCAAAGAACTCAAACCAGACCACTCATCGACATACATGAGACTATGTGGATTGATCAAATGGGCGATTGTTCTAGAACGGTGAGTTTGTCGACAGGCGAAGAACAGGCGACTGGAGTCGTTATAAATTGCATCTTCGTATTGCTCTTTTAGTAGGGATACAACTTCGTGTTCCTGGTTAAACAGGTGTTTAACAGTTTCAGAATCGTTGCATTCAATCATTATATCGATGGGTTTTTTCTTATCTTGTGTTTCACGGCTGAATAGATGTGGAAAATTGAAGAACAAACATATCATCTTCTGACTTTTCACGTCTCGACAGGCATAATGTAATGGAGTAGCACCAGATATATCCACGATCTAAAACCAAGCATGTATATGAGATTGCCTAAAGAACTATTCACAAAAGAACGTACATCAACATCCGCACCATATCCTATTAGACACTTCGCATTTCCTACACAGTTGTACATAACAGCAAAATGTAATGGTGTGCGTCCATTGTTGTCTTGAACGTTCATCTTAATTTTGGAATGAGTCACCAGATACTCTAGAATTGACGACTGAAGAAAGCAACGAGAATGAGTCAAATACGGTCATTGCCGCTTACAGGGTGTTCAGGACGTTTGTTATCGGTTAAGCGAGCTGCAATATGGAGTGGTGTTTGGCCATCACAGTTGATCAAATTGATATCTTAGCGAAAGAAAAATTTTAATTTCTTAGTGCTGGAACGAAGAAATCTTACTGCAGTCAAATTCATTGACTAAACATCTACAAAAAGCGACATTATTGAAAAGCGCTCCATAGTGTAGTATAGTATATTGATCAGGTACATTCAGTGTTTCTAACATCATTGTAATTTGTGATTTGTTGTAGGAATGATGTTTTCGAATAAAGTCAATTAGATTCTTTATACCATTTTCACTGTAACCATGGGATACTTCCAATTGTTGAATAATTTCATCGAGATCTTCTTTACAATAATCATTGGCCACTGCACTTTCACGCAATCGTTTCATACACTCTTTTCTATTGTAAGTTCCTTCGTAAAGATCGTTGAATATTTTCAAAATTTGAAAAGGAACACATGGAACTGGAGTGCATGCAATCTAAGTATTCAGATATAGTTACGTGTTTACAAGATTCTAATAAACATTGTAGCTTACTTCTTTGAGTACAGCAACAAAATTATGATGAGTCGCTTTCTTCATACCGTCTTCAAGCTCGCGAGTCTGTCGAAAGAACTCAATCATTGGTAAAACGATACCATGATCTTTTGCCACTTTATCATCCATACGCTTATTTCATACAACTTCGCTTTATGCGCGTAAAAATAAGTCTTCGTTGTAGACACATAATTGCATATGCAATGAGTATTTATTGAATAAGATCATCTTGCAAATCATACATGAAGAAATGATAAGAAAGACAAAGAAAACTGTCATTCATGCTCGCCCTATTTTTATTTTTGGAACAATGTCAATTGATTCACGCGCGTTAGCGTCACGAGGAAGTAGCTACTATATCGCTACATATATTCAAAAACACAGATACTTTTTCTGATTGACTATTCGCCACAACTACATCGACCTTGTTATCGTTATTGATGTCACCCTGTGCAAGACCAGCTGGGATAACTCCCGTTGCGTATTTAACTTGTTTCATAAAGACCCTACTTCCGTTACCGAACAACACACTCATAGTATTATCACCAATATTAGTAGTAATCACATCCAAATAGTTGTCATCGTTTAAATCAGCTGTTATCACATTATTGGGATATTTACCAACGGTTTCATTTTGTTGCTGAGGAAACGTTCCATCACCATTGCCAAACAGGATAGTTACAGTATTGCGACCAGTATTAGTTACTACTAAGTCGAGTAGACCATCATTATCCAAGTCGCTTGATGTCGCTGAGGCTGGTGATTTACCTACGACATAATCCGTTGTACGATGAAAACTTCCATTTCCATAACCAAGATAGATACTGATACTATTATTATTTCGGTTAACCACTACCAAGTCAATTTTAGTATCACGATCCAAATCAGCTGCTACGAGAGACACTGGCTTATTCTCAACAAGAATATCACTTCCTGTCTTAAAGACACCATCTCCATCGCCTAGGAACATCGCGATATGATAGCTATCTTTCATAACTAGTGCTAAATCTAATTTATTGTCGCTGTTAAAATCAGCTGTTATCATAGCCGCCGGCGTAGCATTAAGTGAATAATTGACTGCACTAAGAAATAGAGCTGATCCATTACCAATAAGTACACTGAAAGTACTGCTGTTGATATTGGCAACTGCTAGATCCAATTTCTGATCATTGTTGAAATCAGCAGATACGAGAAAGTTCGGTGCTACGCCAACACTATATGTTAGTGGAACACGAAATATTCCATCACCATAACCATATAAAATGGTGATTGTGTTATCATTCCCATTACTAACAGCTAAATCTCGTTTCTTATCATTGTTAAAATCTTGGTATATTACGAATGATGGATATGAACCTGTGGGGTATGAATATTGTTGAGTAAATTGACCATAGCCTGTCCCAAATAGAATGATAACAACGCTTCCGTATGAGACAGTAACTATCAAATCTGAGTGTCCATCGTTATTCAAGTCGGTTACTAAGACAGCTGTTGGACTATATCCAACAGTTACTATTTCTTTAACTTGATATAATACCTCATTCGATGCAACGATCGAAGCTTTTGATTCAACGTCATAGTCATACTGATCTTCATCCGGAGATCCGAATGATCCGTCATTATTTCCAAATAAAACAGTGAGGTAATCATCATATGTAGAAACTACAATTAAATCCAGTTTTGTATCATTATTGAAGTAACCTGAGACTAAATACGTTGGATAATAAGTAGCATACGATGATACCGGGTCTTGAAAGGTTCCATTTTTATTGCCAAGTAAAACGTTAACGCTGTTGTCAACCTGAACAGTCACAGCTAAGTCTAAGATAGTGTCGTTATTAAAATCACCTGTTATAATCATATATGGTGAATAGCCAACAGGGTAAGTCAACGGATAGTCGAAAGTACCATTCCCAAGACCAATTAAAACTGATACAGCATTGTCATATATATTAGTTACTACCAAATCTAGTATTTCATCGTTATTGAAATCTCCTGCTGCTATTGAAGTTGGATAACCATTAACATAAAACTCCTCCGCGGATGAAAATGACCCATCGCTATTGCCCAAAAACATTCGAGCATAGCCATCGTCTCCGTCAATGATTACAAGGTCTAATCTTTTATCACCATTGAAATCATCCGCTACGATTGAAAACGGTAAATCACCTGCTTCATATTGCGTCGTGGCGGTTAGCATTCCATTTCCATCATTGATCAACACACGAATAAGGCCCTCATCACTATTCACTACTATGATATCCGTGACATTGTCATTATTAAAATCACCTGATATCATTGCCGTTGGAGACGAGACAGTTTCACCTCGAATCTTATTCAAACGTCCGTTCCCATCACCAACTAGGACACCGATGTTGTTGTCTTCAGAATTCGATACTGCAGCATCTAGCTGTCGAGTATTCCTAAAGTGTCCCAGTACTAAAGAAGTTGGAGAATGTCCGGTGTCGTACATGTCACCCGCTCGAAAAGGGTTTGTACATTTAATCACTGAAGGAAAACAAGCATATGTTATCGGTCAAGTATGTTTTCTTGTTTTTCCATTGAGATTAGTAAAAAAAAGCAACAGCAATATACCTTTTGATTTATTATTTGATTTGGTGCCTAAAACAACACCGACAACAACGCCAACGATGATCAAAATGGTCAACGCGCATATTGGAATCATAAATTTCTTTTTGCGATACCAAGGACGCCTTATAAATAAAAGAAAAACAAAACTGATAAACCTTGCGAAATCGAATGGAAGCAGATTTACTCTATTTTTGGATAAATATGCGCACCTAAAATATAGAATAATCTAATTAAAATATAATTTAATCATATGAATACCTGGAAATGGTGGTTCAAGTAGTGTTTCCTCAGGTATAACTTGTTTTAAGTGAACAATGAAGAGTTGTGCTGCTGGTGAAAGTTGCGATTGAACAACCATATGAGTACCCGGTAGAAGTAAAATTTCATCTTCCGTAACGAAATGTGAATGTGCTTTAATTGTTCGACCATTGATAGCTTCAACTGAAAATAACGTTCGATCGCCTTGATTTCCCAAATACATATTATTTTCAAGTACAGTCATCTCTGTTGTAGTCGATGAAAATGCCCACCATGTTATTCTCGTACCTGGTGGAAACTCAGTACTTAAATTTTTTGTTACACCTCGCCAAACAGTCAATGGTGGAACACATGGTAGTTTAGCGAGGGCAGTGATGAATAATTTGAGATATCTATAATAGGGCAAGAGCTTTTCTCGATCCAAATTTTTCAAATGATAATTAATCATAGAATAAAGACTGCGATGTGGACGGTCCCATTCGATTGTATAAAGCCGGATTGCAGCGCTTTCGTTTACTGTTAGACTGTCAGGTGGTTCAGCAGGTGTTTCCTTTAATGCTAGCTCAATATAAAATGACATATTGTGAAGAAGATCGGTCAATGGTTCACAAGCTTCAGCCAACGATAGAAGAGGTTCTTCGGCGTATCCAGCAATAGGATTTATTGATTCCATTTCAGGATTCGGTGTATCTGTTGGTTTGTCAGTGTCATCATTTGCGATTTGTTGATGGGAACTTAAATCGATTAAACCGGAATTGTCATCGACTCCTCGTTGTTCCCTACTTGGCGACTGCTGAATGTTATCCCAATTGTTTTCAGCGACTTTGTCAGATAGTATCGGAATTTCTCTATTTCGTGAGTATCGATGAAAGTTCTTCGATTGATCGTCAAATTCAGTTGCTGTTAACATCGTTTGAACGCGAATGTTTTTACTTCTGACGTGTTGTCGAAAATGATCTTTCTCTTGATCGATCGTATTTGATGTTAATAAAGTTTGAGTACGAACATTCTTGGTCTTTTCATTTTGCCGATATAATATCACTTCACTATCAAGTGGACTCTCGATGTATGGATTGACTTTTGATTTGTGATTATTGTGCATAAAATCCATTTAATTTTGCTCGCTTAGATAAAATTGTTAATGCTAAATAAGAAAAGAGAAGATTTTGTTGATGATTCACTATGCAACTGAGTTTCCCAAGTCTGACAGAGCTCAAAATCGCATTACTTGGTTCTAGTAAGCAGCAGACGTCAATTCGCGTCTAAAATAATGGAAGTGAAAGGGCAAAGTAAACTTTTCCACCAAAAAATCGGTCGTCAGACTGATCGAGAATGAAAAAAAATAGATAGTTACAGTAGTGCAATACACATAGGTAATATATGTATGATGAGACACAGAAATAGATTCGTTTATTTCGCATCATACGATGCACATTAAACAAGTAATAACGTCATGTTCTGTTTATGCATATTAACCAAGTGTATACTCAAAAGGAAAGTGATTTTTTTTCTTTACATCGCATATCTTAAAGATATGTAAATATTACAGTGAAATTTTGTTTTCACTTCTTCAATTAACATTTGAATCCGTTCTGTGGATGTAAACTGCACGAAACTTTGTACTTTGAATAATTGCTAGTTACTTGATTTTGTGCGAAGTGATGCATATCAAATGTAATGGACGAACCGTGATATAAGTAAACATTTCAACCACGTGTCTCCTTTTATCGCATCACACTACATTTTTCTTTCTTTCTGAGTATGATTTTAGCAGTATAATCGAATACGTCAGTGAATGTATATACTATGAGGCAAAACATTAAGACATAAAACTGAATCTCTTAGGGCCAAGGTGCCTTTTTCTCTCCGCACCTACATCGTCCATTCACATGAATACGTCACTAAAAGAACAAGTTTTTTTTCGAAGGGAGCAGCTGTCTCTATACATTTGTGTTGTTAACAAGATTTCCTTGATGATGACGATGCCGAAAACCGATATTTAGTTCAGTGAGTGTCTAAACAGAACGAAGAACAACATTGAAATAATGACAATGAAGTTGAATTACGTGGTTAAATTTCAATAACTCTCGAAGATGATCTATTCCAACATTTCCAATAGTATTCGATGCAGACATAAGCAAGTTAAGTTAATATTCAACTTGACCTGGCCTGGAATATTTTTCAAGTGAGAGCGACTTGACTTGACTTAGTTTTTAATGCATGAACAAGTCACAAGTCAAGTCCAAACCTTTCTCTCTATATGCAAGTGTTTTATGTATTTCAGTTTTAATTTCGAGCTTAATGTGTTAGAAATGTCAAATTAAGAGTGACAGATACACTTACAAAAGGAATTGACATCAAAGATTGGCAAGTTAAGCGGTAGTGGAGCTAGGATTTTGAGCTATAGGTAGGACTCTGTCTCATAACATCCTGGGAAATAGTTGTTTTAGCCTACCAGGAATGTCAATTAGATGTCAAAGCGCGGTGTCGCTACAGAGAACTTCTCTAAAAAGCTAAAATGAAGACCAAAAAAACCTGTACTCCGCTCCTGCGTTAATACCGGCCCATAGAAAGTTGGATTTCCCAAATTATGTAGGTAAGGGCGAGTCTAACGAGCCTTCTTGGCTTCGCCATTAAATTCAAGCCCATTTTTTACTGGAATTGAGTCAAATCGAATGACTTGTGACTTGACTTGAATTATAACTTGGACTTTAGAATTTTTAGATTTGATTTGACTTGACTCGGGTTAAAAAGCTGATGACTTGCCCATGTCTGTTACGTAGAGCTCGATTCTTCTTTAATGATTCGTCTATTGTTTTTGGCGGAGGAAGTGTCCTTGAGGCAAATGAAATATAGGAAAGTTTTCAAAATAAAACTTTCATTTGATCATTTAGTACATTAAGACCTATTTGAAATAATCACTTCTGTGGAAACATTCGATTTTCCTTACGCAATACTTGTATAGTCAGCATATGCATGAAAATAATACAGATCATTGATTTGACAGTGTGTTGACCATGATGTTTTCTAACTCCATTCCAGTCAAACCAGTTTCATGAATTTTCAAATGATGCTTATTTTCATAAATAAATATTCGAGAAAGAGAAGAAAAATCAACGTTTTTCGGGCATTTTTTATGAGTGCGAATAGTGCAGGCGTTTGCGAACATCCATTTGCATTTCGTTCGACATCGGATTGTGAAAGTGCCTGAATAGAAGAGAATTAAGTAGACAAACAAGATAATTGAACAGATTGCTGTGCTGCGGCGATAGAAAGAAATCATAATACATTCATTCGGTGAATGGAATCTTCTACGTCCTTTTTTGAAAATATAATCAAGATCAAATTCAGTAAGTGTTTGTGTCTTTATAGGAGAAAATGAAATGGAACATTGAGAGAAGATCATCTGTAGAGCGTCGATTAAATAAAGTATCTCAACAATTCCAATTTTATTCCCGTCAAGGTCCAATTTTTGTAGTGTCTACAAGGAAATAACTCTTAGAAAAGAAATATGATATGAAATGTTAGCACTGTGTTTTCTCGCAGGACATCAGTAAGATATTTGGCTCTTTTTGCATCAATTTCATTAAATTTTAAGCGAAGTTCTTTGGTGGTCTAATCGAAGAGAAGATATTTCGAAATGCTTAGAGAATATTCTTAACTGTCTTGTGTCGTATAGCATCAGCGATAGTTTGAACGCCAGAATTGTACATAGCGACCCGCGGTCTAAAGTGATTTGTGTTAAGCTCTAAAGATGTAGAAGATATCACACGAAGTTTAAAAATGCGAGAACAGCAAACAGTGCGTGATCGTTTTTTTATTTGGAATACCGTTTTAAAAGCCATCCAATAGAGACATTCATTGTGATGTAAAGATAACTCGATAAGTGTCTATACATATCGAAAAGTAGAAGAAATAAAAACATACTATGTTGTGCTGTAATTTATTATACAACATTGTATTCCATGTAAATCACTTTTGTTGCTGTCAAGGTTAAGTATGGATATAGTCTTTACATCAAAAAGTGCCACGAATGTATAATATATTCGATAGAGGTAGAGATTACTTTGTTAATTTTGAATATGGACGCAAGATATATTGTACCGCTGTCACCAATTTTGTTGTATGAAATATCACCTTTTTCAAGAGTCTAGATATGTTAAATATTACACACGGCAACAGTCAAACATATAGATGAAGAACTACATTATTGTTTTGTAATGCTTCGGACAAATACTTTGCTCTGTCGTCCGTAATTTTGTTTTCACGAAGATTCAAGTAAATCAATTGAAAGAACAACAGACGATGATACCAAGTTTTTATGTAATGTTTTACAGATGGAGTACATTCCTTGATCACCAATGTTGTTTGATGGCATGGAGAGTGTTATCAATGTCTATGAACAATAATGGGTAATGGAAGAAGGAGAAAAAGATGATGGAGACCGTTTATTTTCAGAAGGTCAGCCATGCATTTGGCGCCTTAGCATTCGACATTGTCGTTATTGAGGTTCAAAGTAGAAAGTGTTTATTTATATGAAAATTATCAGATATTTATAATATTAGGAATAAAGGAAATCTACCGTATGATTTACTAACCTTTCAGCGAGATATTGTGTACCAGGTGCTTTAATTCGAGTGGAGCATAGATTCAGCTCGATGACTGTCTGTTCAGTGAGGAAAAAAATATTTTAGATGATATAAAGCAGATCAATTGTGAAATTACTTGATTATTTTGTAATACTAGTGCGAGAAGTCGCATGTGTGAAGTTTCGATTCATCCACCAGAAAGGTCTACTACGGTGATTGTCTATATAACAGAAATGAAATGATTCAGTTTTTTACTATTTTTATTCAAACACCAAACCCTTTATAGTGTACAATACTCACATTATATACATATTACCCAAAATAATTTCGTCCCTTGCCAAACTAGTTATATAATAAGTGTCATTTGTCGATGAAATTCCACATTTGAGACGGCGAGATCCAAATTCAAGAATAGATTCAACAACTGGAATCGTAAAAAGTGACATATTATGTATTGATCCTTATTGTTCGATTATAAATTTAAAAATGACAAACCAATGTTGTTCCTTGTGCCAAAATGGATCTCGAAATTGTGCTATGATTGTATCAAGTTGAATGGCATCACTGGGTGAGAACTTCCAGGAAATGTACAATCGAAGTTTCTGAAGACAGTTTAATTCAATTCGAATAAACTTCTTCTATTCATAAATGTCAGGCAGAGATATCATCATTCCAACAGATGACTCGAAATCAAGTTCACGAAGTTTTGGCGTTTGAAAAAGTATTGATATTAGATTTCCGATTGGCAAAGGACAACAGCCAATGCTGAGACGTGTTAATTGTGAATTAAACGGGAAATCTAACAAACGTAAACACATTAAATCGTCATCCATCTCGATATGTGCTACTCGAAATGTTTTCAAATATAGTAATTGATAAAAATTGTAATTTACATCGATTTAGCTACAACATTTCTTCAGCTTTGTAATTTAAATCCTTCCAAAACAATTTTTCAAGGTTTGTTTTCTCGATAAATGACGAACCCGTTTGCATTGAAAGAGATCAGAAATAAAAACCAATTGTCGACTGTTTGGAGTAAAATACCACGAAGATGTTAACGATACTACACGCTCGAACAAAACGTGCAAAGGAACGCTTCGTCGATTTGTTCGGTATTTGTGACCATTAAGTTTAAGTTGAAGTCCATCGTAGTGATTGGTAATAGAATGAAATCTCTTGCAAACACGAGGAAACGTACAAAGGATCGAGTTAGTATCGCAGAAATCGAAAATACGATAGAATGTTTCGGCAGGAAGATTGAGTAATGGTGATTATTCCATCGACGTGATAATCTATACGAATAGAGAAAATATTTTGTTTAGCGAGACGGGATCAAAAGGTCATCGAGATGTGGCTTTTGCTTGATAGACAGATCTGCTAATTATTATGAAAGTCTCCTCTTGAATAACTTTGCACATTTACTCATCATTTTTATATCGGAAGGTATACGGTAAACTGATCAAAGATAAAGAACAAAAAGCGAACGCGGTACAGAGTTGAGAGTGAAGAACTGACACCCATGAAGACCCACCCGATAACTTCAGATTTCTATCGATTAGCATAAGTTATCTTCTTCTAATGAACGCATATGGTAAATTTCGTATCCATTAGAGTGTCACATATGAACCGTAGTGCTCCCTGAATTTGAAAGCAAACTATATCTGTTTGAAGAAATTTATGCAGTAGAAACCATCGGTCAGTATGTTTTGCGAAATAAATTACGTTTACGGATTGATTTCTTCATGAAAACAAAACGCCATGATTCGGTTCTCGAATAACATTGACTCATTCAATCCGATCGTTTCTTATCTACTTGGTAGAAACTTTGGTCGATAGAAGAAGATTATGGATTGAATTTCATACTTATACTCTCTATCTCCTTGCTCGTCGCCCTCACAAAATCGTTATTGTTTCATTCGTTCGAACGTGATAATAACTATTCGAGCCATTCTAATGCGACACCATCAAATGCGTGAGGATGTTGACACGACAGATACTGTCGATATTTCTTCTGATCATCCATTAATACGACCCAATCATTTTGAAATCGAACAAATTCGACAATTCCTTCTAATTTTACTTGGTATTTGCCTTGTAAGTTTATGTCTTCTAAAAACATCTCCTGAAAGAAGGATTTCATTTCATTATAGGCATTCGCTGTGGTCTATTTGATAATGTCCACCGTCGGCTGGGCAATAACAACTAGTTCCTATGGAAAGGACGAGCGCCTTCAGATTTTCGAGGCGATCGTTTCGATCCTATTCTATGGTTTTGGACTTCTCGTTGCAAAAAATTATAAACAAAAAGGTTTGCGACTAGTATGTATTTCTATAAATTGGTCGAAGTTAACATGTGGGAACAAATATTATTTCAATTTTCTTTCTGTTTAGTATGGATGGTTAAGTATCATTTTAGTTAATATCACTATCATTGTTATCATTGCATTTCATTTGATTCACGTCAAAATGTATTTCCCATCCACTGAAAGAACTGCCTGGCTGCTGTTTACATATATCAACTACATACTAAGTGTTTGGTTTCATATATTTGCCGTAACTGTGAGTTGTTTGATTGGTTCAACTCGTGTGTCTTATCTTTATTTGTTTTAGATAGTTATCATCATATTTTCATTCCGACTCGCACGGCTCTTGGATGCCGATAGACAGTTTCTTATTAGAACAGCTTAGTTTTGCGTATTATCGTACTATTTAATACCTCTCGTTTGATTTTCAAATGTAATTTACTATTTAATTCTTGATTAGAAACAAATTCCATTTTTGCAAGATGTTTGTTCAACTAACGATGACAGATTAGAATATCTGTATGTTCAATATATCAATGTCGCAATTACTTAAATAAATTTACATTCAATCGGTGAATTGTTTATTATTCTAATTTTTTGAGACTGTTAAAAAATCGAACATGTCCTTTAAATATGATCGATGAAAATGTTCAAATAATAAAATATCTCGATGGGTTTTTCTTATGTGTTTTGTTTGCTTTTCATTGCCTTCAGCGACTGAAGTTAACGAATAATATAGAATTAGTTGCGAGAAAATAACAGTGAATGCAAATGTATTTAGTTCTCATGATTTATCTTCTTATTCCCTTAATGAACGCTATTACAGTGAGTCAAATACATCGATCTTCCATCTACAAGACCAATTCTTCTTGTGCTTCTGTTTCGAATATCACTTGGTCAGGTGATGTATCGATTCAATCTTGTATCTGGGAGTGCACTCATCAAGAACAATGTCAAACAGTTGTTTATTATCACGACAATAAAACGTGTTTGTTATTTCGCGGAGATTGTCAATCGGGTGAGATCGTGTCATCTGGAAATATTCGAGCAAGTGTTATTTGTCACCGACGAAATCAAGGTTCGTTTGTCGTTATGATGATATTATTCTGATTGATCTTCTTTTCTTTAGGATCGAACAATCAATGCCCCACTCGAAGTAAATTTGAAACTAGAGATCAAGTTAGCAAAACGTGTCTGAGATTTTGTAATATTTTGTTTAGAATGGGTAATGACTAAAAATATGAATGTTTTACGACATCAACATACAGCATCCATATTATATGATGGAACAGCAGTACTAGTAGCTGGTGGATACCATAGTAGTTCTCTCAAGAGCGTTGAATTGTATAATTCATCGACAAATTCTTGGACTGTGACTGGAAGTATGAATACCGGACGACATAAACATACGGCATCCGTACTCTCCAATGGAACACTACTGGTGGTCGGTGGATATAATGGGAATTGTATAAACAGTGCTGAGTTGTATGATGCATCAAAAGGTAATTGGTCAATGATTGAAAATATGGTTGTTGCACGGCGATTTCATACAACATCGATACTATCAAATGGAATAGTATTGGTAGCTGGTGGGCAGGGTAATAATAGTGATGCCCTTAACAGTTCTGAATTATATTGAGATATTCTAGAAATACGATATCTTTTTTCTCAATTATTACATATAAAACTAAATAATATACTGCTGACTCGTACTCTGAATCGTAAGAATTGTTATGTGAATATTGAACTAGAATTAGATGAGAAATAATTAGACATTCTGCTGTTGAATTATTAAAACAGTTTCAAAACGCTTTCTCACATAAAAATATGCCTACCTACGTATGTACGTATACTTGACTTTTTTCATGCTGTCGTCATCTTAAGTAGGATCAACCCTACAATCTTCTTTTCTCAAAGTACAATAATTATATTCAATCTTCTCTCCACTCACCTCCTATTCAAAAAGTCGATGGATCGTTATTTCATCCTGTAACACTTGCGTGTTCTTTCTTCAATTGATGTCGCAACTAAGAACCAATATAGACGATAATCACCCTTACGTGAAAGACTTCTTTGACGTAAAGATCTTTAATCACTATCGTCATCATCTCTAATGAAATGATAAATACTAACGAGAAGAAGAAAACCGCTCCGAGTCAATTTAAACGCCATTTTACTCTATACGACACATCTTATTTCGTTCTGCAGATTTCATCTAAGAAAATGTCCAATGCAACTGTGAATATAACTATTAGTGCTAATGATGCATTTTACATTTCACTTATTAATCTTCTGAACAAAACCATTTCAGAAGTCGTTTTTGCTTTTATTCTCGTTCTCGGAAACGTCGGCTCTATTCTCATGTGTTTCGTTTTCACTCAACCGACTTACCGCAGTAGTCCTTGCGCAATGTACTTCCTCGCTGCAAGCATTTCACAGTTTTTCACTTATAATTTTGCCTTATTCACCCGTTTGCTGCATTTTGGATTTGCTGTGCTCACTCTCAATTATGATCTTTGGTATTGTAAAATTCGTTTCTATCTCTTTTACATATTCGTAGCTGTTCCTCGTTATTACATTATCTTGGCATCGATTGATCGCTACTTTGCCAGCTCACGGAACCCACTTCGACGACAATGGAGTTCGCTTAGAATCGCCTTTCAACTGATTATCGCTAATATTATATTCTGGTCTCTCATTTACATTCAAATCATCATTTTCTATGAAAACGGAAATGGCACATGTACGTTCCGATCCGGTAGTTATGGAATGTTCTTTAGTATCTATATTGCCGTTGATAGTGGTATTCTTCCTTTGCTGTTGATGCTCATCTTTGGTTTGTTAACAGTGCGAAATATTCATCAAGCGAAAATGCGAGTTGTTGGAGGTAGAACACAAGGAACAGGAATGTCAAGGAAAGATATGCAACTGCATCGAATGCTGGCAAATCAATTAATTCTGTTTATTATTCTAAATATGCCGAATCCAATTTATTTAGTGTATAGTTCATACACAATCGACATGTCCAAGTCAGCACTTCAGAATACGGCAGAATCGTTTGTTAGTAATATGACGTATGTTTTGATTTATCTTGGATTTTCGTTGACATTCGCGAATTTCACGATCACATCAGATATATTTCGACGTGAACTTATTCAGCTGTTTCAATCAAAAATACTTCGTCAAACTTCAATGACACGAACAACAGGAAGTGGAACTCAAGTCAGAGCATTTAACCGAAATGACGGTGAAAATTGAAATTAAGTCAGATTTGAAGATTTTTCAATGTTCTTTTTTATTTTGCTTTTGTTCGTACACGGTGTTTTGATACGCCCTCACCCAGATTGGCATCTATACTTGAATAAACAAGACAAAAAAAAAACAGTAAAATCGTAAAAGTAGAAGTTTTTGGCTTGTGAGTTTAAGATGTTCGTCGATACTCGACGGATATGATCTTATCAAGAAAGCGGAGAGATGATATTCGATCGTCTGTTAATTGATTTCATATATTCATTTCGATAAAATTCAGATGGTAGTACGAAGATGAAGAAAGTAATCATTGGCGGTATAAACGAAATAAAATAGCCGCTAAGAAACAGCCAAGAATCTTTGCTCGAGTTCATGCATTTGGATGCATAGGAAAGAACTAAACGTGGCAATGCCAGAACACATAAAACGATAGGCGCAGTTAATAAATGTCGATGGTTAATAAATTGCTCGCATAACATAACTTTATATGGCAGATTATTTCTCAAATGGGATTGTCGATGAGATTTTTTCGTTATGACAATAATGGTTGAAGTTAAGTTAATCGCAAACGGAACAAAACACAAAAATGTATTGACTACTCGGTTATAGCTTTGCAAGCGTGAAGAATAATTCACAACACACCAGATTCTTTTCTTATTCTCGTTGTCATTTTCTTCTTCTTCAAACAGACTTCGATGAATGGGATCGTGAATCGATGTTACAATAATGAATGTTAGAACAATAAGGAAAACTTTTTTCGCTAATTCTTTACTTTTTTGTTTCACGAACTTCACACCTTGAATGCTAGTTATCGCTCTTTCCATAGCTACGCATGCATTTAACCATTGATCCATATTCAAACAAATTCGAATAAGAAATTTAAGTAGTATCAAAATATCACGATATGTTCTTTTTTTGTGACATTAATTACGACAAGATGATGAATTGGGATATCGAATACGATATGATACATTTTATAAACAAGTATTTGAATTTCTGTTAAGTATTATAACAACAATAGTTGGACCTATTCTCATGATCATATTTTGATTTTTAATAATCTATAATATTAGTGCAAATCGTGTTAGACCGAAAGGAAAGTCTTCATATCGTCGTACTGAAAGTCGATTATTTCAAACGTTGTTTTTTTCTAATAGGAATTACATATATTATATCAAATTTACCACTGTCATTTGTGTCTACATCACAATTTCGTTTGATAGTTAATTTTTGTTATATTTTGTCAAGTCGAATCTATCGAAAAAAACTTATTTATCTGATAAAATAATTGTGTAGATTCAATCATCAAAATCAAATTCGATCCACAATTCAAAATAAACATTCCGATGACATTTGATCATGTATTTTCAAAAAAAAACCATAAATAAATCAATATTCAACTGTAAATCTTTCTGTACAATAATGATTTGATTTTATCTAAAGGTTTCTATTGAAATAGTTTATCATATATAAACTATTTAAAAACTATAAGAAAAATAAAGTTTTTATGAAATAACATGAAATGTTCATTATTTCAAATACAGAGACAAAGTGCCTACTGCTAAAAATTTTTCTTCTACTAACATCTGTATATAACATAAAATCACTTATTTTTTCATAGGTTCTACTGCAAAGTTATTTCCTTCCCTTATTGCTATTAATTGTCTCTAGAAAGTTTGCTGACACTAATTAAAATCTCAGACTGACTTTTTCTTGAATCTAAAAAAGCATCGTGAAATGTTTCAGTGGTAGTTCGGAATTCTCTTCGAAATCTTATTCATATTCTCAATTCACGAACAACACATTATAAATCAGATTTTGTTAAAATGAAACGTGTGTTTTTAAAGCTGCTGACTCTTTATGTCAACACAAAGAGAACGTTATAATAAAGAAAGAAAATAAACTTGCAATTCTGGTAATAATCGTTTCTTACTCATCGAAATCTGCGTACTTTTGTTTTGTGACATGAAAAAAATCTCATTTTTCTCGAAATTCATACCAAAGTAAAAGAGATTGATGTCTGTTCTTTCTCGGTAATTTCCAACTTCAAACACGAAACAAAAGTAAATACATAATGATTCATTGCTGAGAAGTAAAACACATTTTATTGTAGAAACGGAAACTGACATACGTATGACAAACATGCCTAAAACATTTATCTTCGCTTCTGGTCAACTTTTAACTTTGAAATACAAGCAAATCGCCAGAATCCCGTATTTAACAGCTCTCGTTTCATCAGCGAATAATTTCAAAACAATCTATAATGAACATGGTCACCTTAAAATTGATTCACATATTGACTTTGAAGACTTTTCTTTCGCCATTGAATCTCTTTCATTTCAATCTATTCGTCAAACATTTACTCACTTACCTAAACATCGTAATATCATACGTATCATTGCCCTCCTTGATTTTCTTGGTCTTCTATCTCAGACAGATACTACATTTGCTGAGATAGATTATACTTTTTTCACCGCACATCTTCCGTGTAATTTAAGATTATGTAGTGATGAGGAAATCGTTCGACCACACACACTTCAAGACATGGCTGTTCGTTTTGGTATTGCTATAGTCAAAGAGAACTATGATCTGAATCAATGTGAGGTCAATGATCAAATCTATTGGTTTATCATGTTCGTTCTATGTGCACCGAAATTCTTCGGACATCGTCTTCGTTATCATATATACAAAATCGCTCAAAATTCCTTTTCTTTGTACAACATTGTCTCTCTTAAACGTCTTGAGAAACTTGTGCGAAACACAGAAAAAAATACAAGAGAACTGCTATCAACTGAAACTATCAATGATCTACATCCCGACGAAGAAATTGGAGATTTTTGGCAAATGTCGACGAATCATTTCTACTTCTCATGGTTTTTCCATTCTACAAGAAATAGAAGAACACGTTGGGTTCGTAACGGTTTTATATTTCAAATATCTTTAGAAGAAGGTCTTCATCATATCAGATCTGATATCTATTTCATATTTTTAGAAACTACCAACGCAACAAGGTAAGATACAGAGACGTGAGCGACCTATGGTGTGGTTTCGTTGGGTAAATACACCAAGGGTTAGTTCTGATCACTGGTCTTTCTCTTATTCGGATCTTCTTGCAGAAATACATCAACGTGTATCACACATCATGTGCGATCGATTAAAAAATCAACTATGTGCGTTTGTACTAAACGAAAACGATGGACGTCAGCAAATATATGCGCAAGATGAAATAAATGCGGAAATATTTAAAGCCATTTATGACTTTACACCAAAGCTAGAAACCAAACATCAAGAATTGCTGAGGAAAATACAACAATACGAAGAAACAAGTTCGATTATCCCCGACATAAATATATTTGGTTTTGTCCAGCCTTGTTATTATCTACACCTTGTCTATGAATTCGAGTACAGTAGATTAAAATACAGACGTATGCAAGAAAAGGCATTATTGTACGAAGTCACGCTGAGCAAATTACGTGAATGTTCACAGGTTGTTGAAGAACTACATCAGAAAGTGCTCGATACACTGTATGATGTGATAGCAGACGGTATTAGAAATCGGCAAGAGATGCAACAGGAAATAGCTGAATTACGACAAAATTTATCATCTAAATGTCCACTAAAAACATTTCTCTCCTTTGCTACTTCTATTCGTCAATGCTACTGGGCTTTTGACGAAAAACCATTCCATAAACACACATGGCACCATTCGAAACGTCGACCTTAACTTTTTTTTAAAGTTAAAATGTAATAAAACATCGATATTATTATTTTAATTATCATTTACGAAGAACATATTTGAATATATAATGTTATTTCATCAATAAACATTTACCGGGTTGTGCATAACCTTTTGCTAGGGGGGTAACACTATGAGTTCAAGCTGGGTATCCAGTGAATTTTATACCAGATTAAAGCCCGTGAAAAGCTGGATCTAGGAGTATAATCACCATCTCGATATATAAGACTATCGTCTAAAACTGCGAATGTAAAAGACAATCCG